AGAGATACACATAAAAGATTAAAAGAAATCAAAGAAAGATGACAGATAAAAAGAGATCAGAGAGAGAGAGAGAGAGAGAGAGACTAAAGCGATAAGAGAGATAAATAAAAAAATATAAAAAAGATAAAAATGGGGATACAAAAGAGATAATAGAAAGAGAGAACATAACATTGTGTTTTGGATTCCCCCGCATCCTTTGTGCTCGCTCGTGCATGAAGTTAATATCACCGTTGTGTTTTAACTTGTGTGTAGGTTCGGTTAGGTCAGGTCAGGTTAGGTCGGGTCAGTGCCCGTGGGAGGAGGGGGTGGTGCTCTCTCTCTCTCTCCCCCCGTCAGGGTGAGTGAGCTCCGCCGTCAGGGTGAGTGAGCTACAGTAGGTTAGGTTGTGGTGGTGTGGGTGGCACAGGTGTGGCCTTACTGTGATGGGTGTGACTCAACTGGGGGATGGGGTGACACAACATTGATCAATATATATATATATATATATATATATATATATATATATATATCATTAGATCCACAATGAAAACGTGGATAAGATAAATCTTGATAAAATCACACGGGAAAAGGGAAACAACGGAGCACTTTAGCTTTCGTCTTTATTCAAGACATCTTCAGAGGCAACTGGATTACATGGACAGAGTGGCTTAAATATACAGGGTGACCTTAAAAACATGAGGTCAGGTCATAATGATGTGGATGACATATATATATATATATATATATATATATATATATATATATATATATATATATTATTATTATTATTATTATTATTATTATTATTATTATTATTATTATTATTATTATTTATTTTTCTCAATAACACTAACGGTGGTGGATCCCATGACGTCATATCTAGTATTACGTAATCTGTGACCTGAGGTGTTGAGGTAAAGGTGACTACAGTCGGAATCGTCAAGGTGAGATTGACGTCATCACACCGAGGGGCCGTGTTGCTGCCGGTGGGATTCAGGTGACGCTCTCCTCCTCGGCCAGCCATTGTTGTTCGTATCATGACTCACTCCTATGGCATTATCCTGCCACCACCTCCCCCCACACAGCTTTTCAACTGCCTCTTCCTCCTCTTCTTTTCTTCTTCCTCCTCCTATTCCTCCTTCTCCCCTTCTCTTCCTCCTCCCCCTTCTTCCGGCGATCTACTAATAAGAAATTTTAATAAAGGACGAATTGTTATTGTATTTTTGTTTACATTGATGTGTGTCTACTGAGAAGCCTTGGTGGTGTTGTCATAGTGAGTTGGTGGCACCATCATGCGTCCTTTCCTTCCTGCCTTGACTTCCTTCCTCCCTCTCCCTCCCTCTCTTTCCCCTCCCTCCCTCCCCCTTTCTCCCTCTCTTTCTCCTCCCTCCCCCCCTCCCTGCCTGCCCTACAAGTCACCCTTAACACACACCTCCACCTGTTGCTCTCGGCTGTAATGAAATATCTCGCATTCCATTTCCTGACTCAATTTCGCCCCTTGTTCCCTTGTCAGGCTGTGTCTCCTGGTGGTCTTCATTTAGCCTTTGTGTGCGTGTGTGTCTCTCTCTCTCCAGTGCCTGATGTCTGAACTAGGGCACTCATGGGGTACAAGACCAGGGACACTCCTGGGGTACAGGACTAGGGCACTCATGGGGTACAAGACCAGGGACACTCATGGGGGTACAAGACTAGGGCACTCATGGGGTACAAGACCAGGGACACTCCTGGGGTACTGGACTAGGGCACTCATGGGGTACAAGACTAGGGCACTCCTGGGGTACAAGACTAGGGCACTCATGGGGTGCAAGACTAGGGCACTCATGGGGTACAAGACCAGGGACACTCCTGGGGTACAGGACTAGGGCACTCATGGGGTACAAGACCAGGGACACTCCTGGGGTACAAGACCAGGGACACTCCTGGGGTACAGGACTAGGGCGCTCATGGGGTACAAGACCAGGTGTGACAACAGGTGAGTTAATTTTAAGGATGGGTGGGAGTCATGGGGTCTAGGAGTCGTTGTTATAGATGTTAATATGGACTATTGTAGGGCCACTCACCCCCCTCTCTTTCCTCCCCCTCTTCTCTTCCTTCCCCTCCTCTTTCTCTTCCTCCTCTCCCTCTTCCTCTTCTCTTCCTCCTCTTGTTTTCTTCCTCCCCCCCATAAGATACAGCCAGATAATGGAGGTTTAAGTGGAGGGAGAGAAGGGGGGGCAGCGTGTGGTGTGTCTTGCAGAAGGAGCTGAAAACGGCAAGAAAACCAACGACATTTGAATCCCGTTTCTTGGCGGATCAACAAACGTTCAATAACTTCATTTTGATATGGTTGACACATCTGGGTTTCATTATAAGTTGGTTGCGTAAGAGCCAGTACAACACGGTTTTTATTTATTGTATACGTCCGCGTTAGTTTGTATTCATCTGCATTAGTTTGTATTCATCCGCACTAGTTGGCTTTCTTTCTCGTTAGTTTGTATGGTAATGGTGGTGAGAGGGGATTGTGGGTATGGTGAGGGCAGTGGGGGTATGGTGGTGGTTTTGGGCGGAAACTACTGTGCAGGGTAATGAGTCTAAAGACCTTTCCTCCGCCCACCGTTATCTTGGCCATGGTACTGCTCTTACTACAATAGTTGTGTGTGTGTCACGTCACTCTCACCTTGTCACATGATTCTTCGCCGCCCATCTGCTGTGGTGAGATGTGTGTGTCACGTCACTCACCTTGTCACATGATTCTTCGCCGCCCCTCTGCTGTGGCGAGAGGTGAGATGTGTGTGTGTGTTGCACCCTCATACTACAGTCCTCACCGCCACCAACACACACACAGCCATGAAAGCTGGTGTACACAGCTTGTTTCATTTGACTATTTTAGCTTTTCTTTGTTGACCATTATTAGTCTCCTTAAGTAAACCGGCTGCAGACACTTATAATGCTACTTAAAATCACAGCACTGTTGGGTCAGTGAGGATAACCATGACACTAACGGTGACATTAATAGCTCTTCCGTTACCACGACAACCGAGGAACAACAAGCGTCCACCAAGAGCCAATTTGGGAAACTCAAAAACAATAACTTCCTCAGAACAGAATTCATAAGCGGGACAAGTTTGCATGGCGACTGGCAAACGTATTTGTGGCGAGGTGGGAACACAGCCGTCAAGCTTGGGGATGGGCGGGGTGACTACAGACAGCAACACCAGTCACCAATATCAATTTACAGGGTAGTGAGTGAGTGTGGGGAGGCGGTCCCAGCCACACCGCGACCGCGAATCTGTGGTGCGCTCACATGACCCCCCCAAACGGGTTCCCTGTTGTCGTAAACAGGGCCAACGGGTAGAGACCGGTGACTGCCTGATTAGACCTTGTATAAGACGCGCAAGACGTGTTTTGATCGCTATCAATGTATCGCCATGGATGTGAAGGATCAAACAATATTACACATTCTATAATCCACAGAAAGATAAAACAATATCACACATTCTATAATTCCCAAATATTTTCCTTGGCACACAACCTGTTTACGCATATTAATTGGAGGGTCTGGCTACCTGACATTATATTACAGTAGTGAATTATCCTGCTGCAGTTATGAATAATTATTTTCGGAAGTTTACGTTAAATATACAATTATCTTGTTATTAATTTACAAAAAATACACACAGAAGCTTCATCTGTATTTCGCAACGATAGAAAATGAATTAAAATGTTCGGGTGTGCGATATTTTCTTCTGTTGTTTGATTACGAGGAACCAAACCCTCCCCACTCCTATATTACAGACCCAATCTTCAATCACACCCTCCCTCCTTTAGCTGTTTAAGTAGCATTATGAGTGTCTGCAGCCGGTTTGTTTAAGGAGCAATATGAGTGTCTGTAACCGATATATTTCAGGAGCAATATGAGTGTCTGCAGCCGATATATTTCAGGAGCAATATGAGTGTCTGCAGCCGATATATTTCAGAGCATTATGAGTGTCTGTAACCGATATATTTCAGGAGCAATATGAGTGTCTGCAGCCGATATATTTCAAGAGCAATATGAGTGTCTGTAACCGATTTATTTAAGGAGCATTATGAGTGTTTGCAGCCGGTTTATTTAAAGAGCATTAAACAGATTTGAGAGTCTGCAGCCGGTCGCGTGTTTATTTTTTATTATGCCCCGCACCAACGTAATCAGGGAGACGTATTGATTTTCCAGCAGTCCCCCCCGTCCTCTGCCTGTGCTGTATCACCCAACCCCCACCCAGGCGTTGTTAGTTAGTAGGAGAGGGTAAAGGGTACATAGGGGAGAGTAATGGTGAATTCTTGTTAGTCTGTTGCTATGTTAGGTCAGGTCAGATTAGGTTAGTCAGTTAAATTTTCGGATTTGAAGGTTTAATTTTTTTTTTTATTAATTCTCTCAACTTTATATAATTAAAAACACACAATTATAATAACAAACGAAGATTATTATTCTCTATTTATTGAAGAAGAAAAGAATATAAAATTATGTATAATTGCCTCATAAGATCTGAATCACACACACACACACACACACACACACACAAAAGATTCTTAAGTGAAATCAAAGCAGGCAACACACACATTCACACGTGTCGCCACCCTTTCAAATCTCGTCCAACCCCTCCATCCACCCCAAACAAAATCTCGTCCACTCTAGGGTTGACCGTCCACCCAGGTTGAATAGCACTGGACTAATGAGTAAACACAGCACAAGAAGTTTTGGTTTTATTATTTCAGATTGCTATATCATTTAGTTTCTACTGCACTCTTACGTAGTTTCAGTCAGTTACAGTACGGTGTCTACCCAACCCAACCCAATTTACCATTAAGTTGTTTTAATCATCAGGTGAAAGAAGTGAGGGTTCCTAAGCTTCAGGAGGTCTGTGAAGTGTCTTTATGTTAGACTTGGTAGTTGACAAAGGTGAATTTGTACCGGTAGTCGAGATTGTTACTGTATCGCCGTTGTAAATTTTACCACGACCTCCAGTTTATATTCCTCTAACAGATGTTTCTTTTTCTTGCAGGTGGCCATAAAAATCATAGACAAGACTCAATTAAATCCTGGATCATTACAAAAAGTGAGTAGTAATTACTGTGTGTACATTTTCCCATTAAAAAAGATTAGAAAAGATACAGTAATTAACTTAAGTAACCTAATTTCAGAATCTATAGTATTGTATGTGAGATTATGAAATTATACTGTATACCTGTTCTATAGTGTAATTTGCTCTAAACACGATTTTTTTATAACCTTGTAAAGTTAATGTGTTTGAAATTAGGTGAATCTTTGCATTTTTGTATAGTTTACAGTACAATATTATGTGTGTGGTTCCATAGTGCCCAAGAGAGAGTTTTTTGCTTTATGAGTGAATGGGTCATGATTTCAATATCTGACCAGAGTGAAAGCTTGACTTTTCCCTCTTCTACCCACAGCAGTTGATGAGTGACAGTGCCTATTAATTTGACCTATTTTTTTATGACGGAATGACAACACTTTGGTGGAGTGTGATTCTGCTTCGGGGTTTGGGCATCTCACTTCCTGCTGAAAATATCTTGATGATTGTGTTTAATGCCTTTGTCTGTAAGTAATAATGTCATCACTGGTATCATGAGTTTGTAGTAATGCAAGTTTGATCTCAACAGCTGTTCCGAGAGGTGCGAATCATGAAAATACTAGATCATCCAAACATCGTCAAACTCTTCCAAGTAAGTAGCAATTTATATATATTTATATATGTATATAGAGTACTGATATTTATTGTTTATATTATACCTCTTTAAATTGTTATTGATTTGGGTAATAATAAGATTTCATATGTGCGTTTTTTAACTACTTATCTGTACTATAGAAATTAACTGTTTCTTCTCGCAGGTAATAGAAACAGATAAGACGTTGTACCTGGTAATGGAATATGCTAGCGGTGGTGAGGTATTTGATTACTTGGTCTTCCATGGCAGAATGAAGGAGAAGGAGGCGAGAGCAAAATTTAGACAGGTGAGTTGATGTGATTTCTTGATGTGTGTCTGTGTGTGTGTGTGGGGGGAGTGAGTCGGTGGGGGTGTTTTTGTGGGGGTACACGAAGACATTCCATTGTTAATTTTTCTTGAGTTTTTTGTTGAGGATATCCACAGCCTGGGTGTTGGTCTTTATAGTTCATGAGGCTGTATGCTGTATATAAACTAGTTCATGGCAGAATTAATTTGTAGGATCTAAATGATATGATAATTTCAAGGCTGGCATCACTTTATTATTTGTTGGGTGAATAAATGATGTGTTGAATTTATTACAAACTTCAGTGTTACTTGTTGGTACAGTGTTAGAATACAAGGTTACTGTGTTGCTGGTCAAGTCAGTGTGGTGATAATTTTATTTCCTACTTACAGATTGTGTCTGCTGTACAGTACTGCCACCAAAAGAAGATTATCCACAGAGATTTAAAAGCAGAGAATTTACTATTAGATTCTGAAATGGTGATCAAAATAGCAGATTTTGGCTTTAGTAATGAGTTTACTCCAGGGAATAAATTGGACACGTTCTGTGGTAGTCCACCATATGCAGCCCCCGAGCTGTTTCAAGGTTGGTAATGTTAGAAGTTAGTTGAGAAGGTCATTAATTCTTACTGTCTCTATATTTACTTTTAACATCCCCCATGAGTAACTTTGTATATATTATGGTAAAATATTTAGTATCGTGAGAGGGAGAAGGTAGGCAGACCCAACACTCTGCCTTCATCTAGATAAGGGGAATGAATACCCTGTAGTATGTCAGCTGGTAGAATGAAGTGTTGATGAGTACAGTACTTTCTGTTTTCTGTTATTTACTGTCCTTATCCTTATATATTTCTCAACAACAAAACACTGCTGGGTGGTATTTAGGCATGACTACAAATAGAAATTATAATTCTCGTATGTTCAAACAACTGACCTCAGTGTTATGAATGTTCTTTCCATATCAGGATAGGTTAAAGAAACTAAACTTGCATTCCCTAGAAAGACGAAGAGTGCGGGTAGATATGATAGAAGTATTCAAGTGGGTGAAAGGAATCAATAAAGGTGATATAGATAAAGTTCTTATAATATCCGAGCAGGATAGGACTCAGAACAACGGATTCAAGTTGGATAAGTTTAGGTTTAGGAGGGAGATAGGTAGGAACTGGTTTACAAATAGGGTGGTGGACGAGTGGAACAAGCTTAGCAACTTTGTAGTAAGTTCTGGAATGCTGGAAAGTTTCAAAGGGAGGCTGGATAGATTCATGAATGATAGAGAGTGGTAGTAACTCTCGACAGGAGCTGCCATGCACAGGCCAACCGGCCTATTGCAGACTCCTTATTTTCTTATGTTCTTATATTACAGGCAAAAAGTATGATGGACCAGAAGTAGATGTTTGGTCTTTGGGTGTAATTCTCTATACCTTAGTCTCTGGCTCACTACCCTTCGATGGATCTAACTTAAAAGAACTTCGAGAACGGGTACTAAGGGGGAAGTATCGTATACCCTTCTACATGTCTACTGACTGTGAGAATCTGCTCAAGAAGTTCCTGGTGCTTAACCCAGCACGTAGGGCATCACTAGAGGTGAGTGTCACAGGCGGTGTAATACTGTAGTGTGATCTGGTCTTTGTGTCGAGTAAGTACAGTACAGTACAGTACAGTGCAGTGAAGAGTTATAGGTGTGTAATTTATTAAGGTTTAGAATTTTAGTGTAAATCGATATGAAAATCCATTAAATGTATTTGGAGTTGTTGAAATGAATAGACTAACAGTAACATAGTTCAGATTCCATTGATCAAAGGTATCTCTTACTTGTCTCCTATCAACCTTCATAAGCTAAAGGAGAAGTTAATCCCATGTCTAAACACATAATGTGGAAGAGAAAGGAGACGCTGATAGAATCAAAGAAGAGAATGGAAATAGAATGTGGGATGGATTGCACAAAGAGAAGGGAAGGAATGACTTGAGGAGGAGGTGAATGATGGAATACTTGAGGGGAGAAGAGACACATCCAGGAAGCAGGAGTGTGCGTGAATGACTGGAGAGAGAATCCTCTTGCATGGTTATGTTTCATGTTGGAGTGTGCGAAGTGAATGACATATACCAGCCAGATAGATGTTTTGAGGGACCTGTTGGAGTAGATGTTTTGAGGGACCTGTTGGAGTAGACGTTTTGAGGGACCTGTTGGAGTAGATGTTTTGAGGGACCTGTTGGAGTAGATGTTTTGAGGGACCTGTTGGAGTAGATGTTTTTAGGGACCTGTTGGAGTAGAGGATAACCACACCTGAACATGTACTAAGGTGAGGTTGAGAGAATGAATGGCAGGTAATAGAGGGTGACTCGTGTGTTGTGTTTGAATAACTGCACTGTACAGCCACCTTAACCCATAGTAGGAAAGGGCTTGTGAGGTTGAAGGAAGAGAATATTAATAAATACTGTAGGTTTATTAAAGGTTTACAAGATAGTTATGATGATTATTATTATCTCTTTATATATTATTATTTTCAGACAATAATGAAAGATAGATGGATGAATATTGGATACGAAGATGATGAACTTAAACCATATGTCGAACCTGTGATGGACTATGATGACCTAAAACGAATCGAGATCCTCAATGAAATGGGATACTCTCGGACGGAAATTGAGGAGAGTTTGAAAAGTCAGAAATATGATGATGTATATGCTACCTACTTGCTTTTGGGCCGAAGATCTTCTGATGTGAGTAGCTTTACCCATTATCCCTTATCTTGGTGAGCATTTCCCCCCAGTTCATTCTTTATGCAATGTTTTGATTTAATTTATCTGATTATGGTATTTTATGTTATTAATATTAGCAAGAGTAAGTTCAAGGTAAACTGTAATTATTCTTGATACCTGTTTATATCAATTCCTTTATTTTAGAGAATAAATCCTGGCATAAAAGATGTATGATCCCACAAACATCAGTGTTGTTGTGAGGTGTTTCACTCTGAGAATACCAATTAAAGTGAAGCTCTATTTCATGAAGAGAAAGTTAACTCCCAGAAGTGGTGTAAATGGCTTGGCTTCAGAGGGATGATGATTTATGCATTAAACTAGCAACCCAGTAGTCTTCAGATTCAACCATCACTGAGAGAGCAGTTATGGATTGCTGTCAAGTTTGAGTTAATTCCAATGGTATATCACTATGCCTACTGATTCACTGTAAAATCTAATCCTGTGGATATATCCAGAAAAGACATTACTCTAGTTGTAGCTCTCCTTCCCTCAAAGTAGCCAGTAAACTAAGTCTCAAGGTAGCAGGAAGGCACTGCCATTGCTGAAAATACTACAAATTGTCTGTGGCAGTCACCAGTTCCCCATAGCATTTCTGGCAGGCTGTCTTCTGTCTACTTTCTCTTTGTGAAGGCAGTAGTGAAAAATATTTGTAAGAATGGAATTTTGAATTGTATGAAGTCATTGAGAGAAAAGACAATGTCTTCCTGTCTACCTTAGGAGTTTTTTCATTGGCCACTAAGGCCAATGTGTAGATCTTATACTTACTGTAATTATTGTCACATAATGTAATACCTCATTCTTATTTCAGCTTGAGAGTGATGGCTCTCGGTCAGGAAGTTCACTTTCTTTGCGCAACACCAGTTTAACGCCCAGAGGCCAAGAGTCTAGTGGAGCTGCCCAGTCCCCCTCCCACTCCCATCGGGGAGTTCACCGCTCAGTCTCCGCCACCAACTCCAAGCCCTCTCGCAGAGCATCCTCCGGTGGGGAGACCATTCGTGAGTTGAAACACGGGCATCACAGCGGCTCCCCCACCCACCCACTGACCTTTCCTTGCTCTGTTGATTTCCTCATCATTTGACCTGCACTTACCCATAACCCATTTTATATATAATCCTTATTTAAACGCTTATTGATCATTTACGCTATCATATACTTTCATCTCATTGTCTCTACATTGTGTTGCCTTGTCCCATGTTCACAACAGGGTGACACATGCAGAATTTTACTGCCTTCTTTCTTTGAAAATCTTTACGTAATTCCTGCAATTTGGCCTACTCACGCTTCTGCTCTGCAATGGCATGGGAAGTTGTTAGACAGGACTTGGGGTGTATTTAAGACAACACACTCACTCACTGGATTTATAGTTGTGTTAATACAGTACCAGGGTTTTAGGTACGACGAGGATTACTGGATGATACAAAGTGATCATGTTATACAGTATTTTGAAAGGTGATTACCCATCCTCATTCTTTCTAAGGTAAAGTTTATGCCAACAAAGATTAAATTTTTTCTAGTCTAAATGGATAACACTGCCATAAGCATCACCAGATAGACTTGGCACTGTTGTCGGTTGTTGGCTAAATCTTGAACTGCCAAGGAACTTTTATCTTGTGTCAGTAAATTATGGCTGAAGATTGTTGGAGTTTGTGAAGTAATGTAATTGATTACTATATGTTAAAGTTAATAATAATATTGTGAACTGAATTTACAAAAAGAACGAAAAATTCAACTGATAATTGTTAATACCTCGCCACTAAAGGCAGTTACGTCTTTCTGGCATCAAACGTGCCAGATAACGGCCTCACCTCGTTGGTAATGGAACTCGGCTAAGACCCTGTGTACTGTTCCCTTTATGTGTGTGTGTGTGTGTAATATATGTGTATATCGCAATGGTCGGTAGCCTCACCATTATAATTTAAAAATCATGTGTTTCATCCTAATGTCACTAGAATTCAGTTCCAAGTCCCAGGAAATATTCTTGGGCAAATGTGATCACTCTGTAGGTGACATAATGATCAATAGTTATAATAGAATGAAATGCCAAATACCTGTTTTGATTTACTCACACGGAATGAAGTGACACTTAATACTCGCCTAGTGGCCTCCCAACTGGTACCTATGTTGCACCCCTTGTAGTGTAAACCCAAGTATTAGTTTCTGAACAACTTAGCACCAGACTGAAAATGTTTGTCATCATTGAAATGTGTCCAGTAGCAGCCATCCTGTTAATTGTATTTTGTTGGTTAAAAGTGTTGCCAGTTTTTGAGGCCATTAACCGTGTGTGTAATTTTGTTTGTTGAATGTATAACACAGGCGGTACTAATGTGTGTGATTACCTACTTTGTGATTGATGCTTGACCCTTAGAAGTTTTGAGACATGCACTGGTTGTTAGATGAGCAGAGCATATGTTCCCTTAATATGGTACTGATATGCTTGGTGATGGAATGGACTACTGTATCCAGCAAGAGAGATATTGTTGCTTGCCTGTCTTATAATGCTGTAACCAGAGCCCAAGATGTCCGTTGTTTTGAATACTATTATGTGACGCTAAATAGAAATTATGAATAGGCAAAGGTGACTTACTTGAATTTTGTCATGTGATATTTTAGGCTTTGTACATAGGTATTTTATTAGTAAAAAGAACACAATAAACATAATATTTAAGCCAGTACTGTTAAAAGATGGTGAATATGAGTCATTCATGTAACATTAAGACTTTTTAAGATATAACAGGGAGTACAGTACTGCAAGGGAATAGTGGTCATCACTCGCAGCCAAACTTGCCTCTGTGCTGCCACATGATTCATAACACATCACTCTTGACACTTGACTCCACCTAACAGGTGGCGGAGGCACAACTCCAGTTTCTACTAATGCACACAACCATGCGGGCACCAACAACTTCCGACGCCAGAACACAGTTGATTCTGCAACAATCAAGGAGAACACTGCTCGGCTGGCACAGGGAGGGGTGCCCACCACCTCAGCCTCTCGTTCAGCAGCTCTCAAGAACCAAAATATTACAGCTCTTGATCCCACTGGGGCACCTGGCAAGCCTGGAGGTATTTTTATTTTTATTTATACAAGTTCAAGAGTGGCTTCAAATTGAATCAGGTACCAGTTTTTTTTTCCCCAAAGAGAAGTCAGTCATTTGTGATATTCACTTGAGGAGTTGATTTTTCGAAGCCATATAACAGTTTACAGCTATTTTGGACTCAAATTAATATATGTACATACACATGAACACTCACAAGAACACAATAGTACCAGTATTACAAAACCAGACATAGGACTAGGAGCTGTCCAGTTTGAATAATTCGATATTTAGTAGCCATCTGTATTACTGCAGCAGACACACATGACTTATAGTCATGTACTGGTATAGGCCTCTTAAGCATGTGCCTTTTAAAAGAGAATATCCAATTAGTTTTTTATTGGAGTTATTGTATGAGACTTTGCATAGAAATTAGCAAATGCCAGGTATTAGACCAGCTGGCTCTGGTTACCCATAGAGGGTCTTTAGTGGCGGTGGTGAAAGGGTTGCTTTTATTTTTTTCCCTCTCTTACTTATGCATACGTTGCATCTTCCTTACGTTCTCCAACCCACAATATTTTCCATAAATTATCCAACATATATCTGAATTTTTTATTTATTTATTTTAGTTTTTCCACTTTTACCTGTCCTGTCTTTACCTGTATATGCTTTCATTCTTATCTCTTCCTAATGAATAGTTTACTTTAGTGGTCTTTGTTCTTTTGACATTTTAATGCTGTTCGGTAAAGTCTCGCTTCACTGGATTAAGTACTTAGTGCGTCAGTCTTATTAAGAGAGATTAATTCCACTTACACAAACTCCTTAATCGGGTATTTTCCGTTTGTTTTATTTTCTGGATTTTATTTGTTTTTGTGCGATTGACAAAAACTTGAATAGGAAAATTAAAATCAAATTGTGTTACAGAAAATGAAGAATGTGTATGTGAGTGTGTGATGTATTTTGACTGTACTTCCTCCTTTGAATAGTGACAGTGCAGTAAAGTATTGCGCAGTACAGTGCTCAGCATTAGAAGCTGTAGTGATATATTATAGCATCACGTATGTCGGCACCACACTGGCACACCACTAGTTGATCCATGAGCATGCTTTGGGTGTCTTATTAGTTAATGAACACCACACCACAGCCTACACTGCCAGGCCACAGGTCAACATTAAAACCATAAGGAAATCTATGTCATCAGCTTGGTAGACCAGATCTTTCACGAGTACTGTAACTGGAAAAGAGGGAATGTCTGGAGAAAATACCAGATGGCTCTCATATCTGGTTCTTGATGACATCCTGTTGAAGGAGAACTTTCTGTACAAGAATATGGTCCATGTGTTGTTGTTTTTTGTGATAGCCAAGCTCGCAGAGTTCTCCAGCCAGTGCTTGGAAGAAGAGTTCATATGTTTGACACATTATATTTAGTCATTCAGATCTTGAGTGAAGATTCTGCTTGTGTCATTCTGCTCTGAAAGTTGGGAAATGCATAGTTGTTATCAGTATAAATTGACTTAAGTTTGTGTAGCTATACGTGTCACTGGCTTTAATTTGTCTCGTTACATGAAGCCGATTTTTCTTAAGCCTCTCCTCAAAACACAAGACCAGCTTTTTAGTACTGTAATGTAGGCATTTATTAGCAAAGAAACTTACCAGTCTTACTACATTCCTAACTTGTGTAGAACAGATGCACAAAAGCTTTCAGTGAACAAGATTACAAAGGCTACTGTGTAGTCAGCTTGTGGACAGCACTTGGGGAGACAGGAGTAAAATAGATATTTCATCCTTCCAAGTTACTAGAAAATAGAGCCGAGGCATTGATGCTTTTTCTTTTACCTCGCGGTGACAATCTGTACCGAAGTGGAACTGAAAATAAAAAAAGTAAATACAGAAATTAAGTTGAGGGAGTAGAGCAGCTGGCTTGTGTTGGTGGACTCTGGGGAGTTATCTGCTTACACCCTGTGTTGGCCGTTTGAACCAGTGTCTTATTGTTCATTCATTGTCAGTGTTTTAGTGGGGATAGTAGCCAGATATAATCTTTAGTGGACATAAATTGCACTATTATTGTTATTTAATACATGTACAGTCTCGTTCAAGATTCTTTGAACACTGCTGGAGACAGCTGGCAACTCATGGCCATTTGTTTACTATAGTACGTAGTATAATATAATATGAAACAACAAAGCCCAACCATTAAATTAAGCAACGGGGAACTAAGTAACCAATCACTGATCACTTTTACATTTATTCATAATTTTTACTACTTACTATAGTAAACAAATGGCCTTGAGTTGCCAGCAGTGTTCGAAAAATCTTGAACGAGACTGTACATGTACAGTATATACCATTATTAAGATATTTATAACGAATATTTCCTCCAAACTGACCAGTCATGAAAATTTAATCATTTACTGTTGATTTGATTATCCATGAGTTACCCAAGAACAAAACACCCACAGAATATTAGTAGTGTACTGTATTAGAGTGAGGTGGGCTGGTAACTGCTCTTTTGTATAGTCATCTACAAAAAAAAATTTACAGCATTAAACAAGGTACTGTAGTGGTAACAGAGCATAAAAGAAGGTACAGTGTAGTGGTAACAGAGCATAAAAGAAGGTACAGCATAGTGGTAACAGGTTAAAACAAGGCAGTTTAACAGAGAATAAAACAAGGTACTGTAGTGGTAACAGAATATGCAAGAATGTAGTGACTTAAGCTTTGATGAGCAGAAGGAACCTGGATGTCTTTCCCTTTGTGTGAAACAGTTAAAGAACAAAGAGGAATAATTTGAAGAATGTCTGAAATGGTTTGAGCAAATAGTGTAGCACAGCTGTTGAATTGGTGTCCTCAGAAAGCTGAATGCCATGTCCCCCTAATGTTAGGTACAGTAGTTGTGTTTTTAGTGAATCTCTCATGACCCAAATAAAAAAAATACCTAAACATATTTTATGGCATTTTTTGAGGCAAGCTTGGGAATTTAGAAAGGGTGTAGCAGCAGAGCAGGAACTCACAGTAGCATGGTAGTTGAATTATAGCTTCAAGTTGCTATTCCATGTAGAATTTTCCCTCTCTCTCCTTCCATTACCTTCTTTTACCACATGATTCATTTCTGTGTCACAATGTACAGTAAGAGTTCTGTTGTATGACAACCCCCGTCATGGGCTTTTCATACATAGATTGGATCATTGAACAGTTCTGTTACTTGGATGGAATGCTGTTGTATAGTGTACAGTACTGTACTTTATAATATAGTGAATTGACCTTTTCTGTACAAAAACAAAAAACTTTGATTTTCTTACATACTACCCTATATCACTTCAGTATTGTCATCAAATGAAAGTATATGTTCTTCATTACATTGACATGTATCTATAATGTATGTTCAGTATTCATTTTATTAAATAAAACTCTGTACATATGTTAACATTGAAGGAGTAGGGATAATGGTGGTGGTGAGTGGCAGCTGTTGCTGGTGCTTAGGGTGTAGCCCAACACTCACACTCCTTGGCTGGGAGAACACCAGAAGTAAGAGGTTGGATGCTGTACTCTGCGTCTGATACTTTTCATTATCCTCCGTATATATATGCCTCATAGACATTACAGTTCTACTTAACATTAACATGTATCTGTAATTTGTATAGGGTGCAGCACCAAGTGGATACAGAGCTAGTCTTCTGACCTAGGGGTGTCTGGTGTGTGTCCAGGGCATCACCAGTCCACCCACTTATATATAGGTACAGTGCAGGTACATAACTTTACAGTTGGGGAAATGAAGACAGTTGAATACAGTGCCATTAATGCTGGCTCCTTGTAAACTAAAGGCTTAGTATCGATTCTTTGCAGCCACACTCTCTCTCCCTAACAGACTGTCAGGTCTATGGGACCCGTTTTCATGTTTCATAGTTTGTGAAAATTTAAATGGGCCCCCTTGGCATGACTGCTTGTTTGGGACAGAGGGGATACAGTACATTGAATACTAAGACTCTAGTTCACAAGGAGACAGTATGGTTGGTACTGTACTTCACCACCTTCATTTTCACAGCTTGTCAAGATTGGTATCCATTTACAGCTGGGTGGACTGGGATTCCCCCAAGATCAAACCAATGACCCTTAGAACAGGAGACCAGCACTGTATCTGCTCAGCCGCTGCACTCCTTATAGAGTTTGTACACACAGTAAAAAAAGTACCGCACGGATTATGTGCGAAACACTATGACACCACTGACGAGGTATAGTGGAATATGCGTGTTGGTCCTGTATAATATGGTGGTAGCCCTGTTTCCTCACCTGAGGGTGTCACATATCTGTTGCTACCATAGGTAGTTGGAAACCTTTGCCATACAGGCACTCATACCAACCCTCCTGGCACATCAGGTGATGTATGGATCATTACGGAAGTCAGCAGACTCCACCTGTGCTATAATTTTTTTTACTGTGTGTACATGTAATTACTGTATGTACTTATGCCACTAGTACCAACTCACAAACATTCATGGTCAAATAACAGGTATAAAATGTTGCCAGGATATATGAAAGAAAAGTCGGATAATTTGATCTTGGGGAATTGGAAGTTGGAGAACGGGACTTGTGCATATTTTTAAGAAACTGTTCATTAATTGTATTGCACTAATGAAAACTTTTCTTGATTGCAAGATGAATTAGTAAATTATTTATTAGACTAGAGTACAGTATATTGTTCAGTACACTACTCTCATTGAGCATTTTATTTATATTAGCTTGAATATTTTCACTAGGAGCAGGTGGAGCGACAAGTCCTGGTGTAGGAAAGTCCCGTGTTCAGAAGAGTAACACCATGACCACTAGAATTGGTGGTTCAGGAAGGCGCTCAACTTACTCCTACGATGCCAATAAGGCATCATCAACGGAAAAGACAAACATAACAAACGTTCCAGATTCTGCCAGGTATGTATACCTTAAAATATATTTGCATTCAGTGCGGTGTGTCCCATTGATTGCTCTATGAAATTTTATTATAATGGACAAATATAAACCTGCTTACCTTGCTTACCTGATTGTTCATTATTCTGGTGTCAGTAAATTAAATAATGGTAAATAGCTGCAAATGCTTACAGATTATAAATAATATTAAAATGGGACCCACTAGAAAAATCTGTTGACTTTTGAATGTTATTCTGTCCTGGTCTTTAGTGGGGATGTTCAGTTTCCACAGCACCATTACCTATGCCCTTTGAGTGATGACCAGCTTGAGATTGTAACTGTCTTGCTATGCCAGGCTGCTGTCAGTTGTGAAATTCTCTCTGTGGTGTGCTGTAGGACACTAAGCTTGTGTAAAGCGCATCTCACTCCCTGTCTTGTCACTTATTAGCTATGCTTTTAATCCCATCACTAGGCCGATACCAAAAGTGGTGCATGTACTCAAGAGTCTTGGTTACTCCACAACAAAATGTTACAGTAGTCAGTGTAATTGGGAAATAATCCATACATTTCAGGATTTATTGAAAGGTTAGCAGCAGTGTTTGTGATATGCAGTGCATCCGTAAATTATCTGACCCATTTTTTAAACTTTATAACCTCAAAAGCATTATAAATGGAACACATCAGTTAACTAAGACAAGAAAAAACTGTGGAGTTGTTCGTCAAGTATTAAAAAAAAAAGTGATCCATCTGTAATATTTTTGTGATTGTTAATTTTTAAAATGGGTCAGAAAGTTTTATAGACACCCTGTATATTTCTGTGAAATTCTGAAATAAACTCATTATGAATAATTGATCTTGTGACGAATTTTAAAAAGCAAACCGAGTGATAAGACAACGACAAAGACTCTGTTCTTGTTTCATTGAGAAATATTTTTGTATAGAGTTTAGCATAATACCAATGACACCACTACAGAATACTGTACACACCATCACGAGTTGTTTGTGTCTGGTATTGACCAAAGAACATTCATTTTTTACACTGGGGAGAAAGTCAGAAATTTTCACAGATGACAGCATTTGATATGGTAAATTTTTAAGTAATTTTTTCATGGGCTTTTTATATTAGTCCTCACTTTTGACCAGGTTTTGGGCTCACCACTGAATTGTTCTGCAATTGATATCAAATTTCATTGGCACTTCACATTTTGATCTTCAATTTTTTTCCCTCTTTTTGTGTGCGTGTATTCATATGCATTTAGATGTATTTTTCTGTATCTAAATGACATATGATATTACTCACTGCTTTTTTAGATGCCACAGTTACCTGACCTTAAAACTTTAATTATTATCCCAGGATTTAGATAGTATTTAATTTAAGGAGCCATTTTCTTGGGTTTTGTGTATAGTTAGAAGAAAAAATCCATATGATATTAACACCATATAGCTGACATTTTATCATTTCCTTGGAAAAGCACACGTCAATTATTCCTTATGCCTTTAGGGGCTCACAGGGAGAGAGTAACGTGTGTAATGAAGCCATTGTCCACACGGTTCAGGAGTGAGTACAGTTTGTGAACCCCCTCCTTTAGAGTACAGTACAGGTTCATCATTTTTTTTAGGTAAACCTCAATAACTGCCTCTTTGCTTAACATATAAAGCAAACATTAAAATAAAAATGATCGCTTTTTTCAGAAATTTAGATACATTTTGTCAAATCAATGTACTGTAACTACTGGTACTTCCCCTTGGAGGATGCATTTAATGAGGTTGAACTATGTATGTTTCCCGTCATCTGCTTTGAGTCTGGTCGAGCTCTTTTCTCAGAGTCATTTTCTTTCTGTGCCTCACAGGAAAATGGCTATGATAGAAATTTAAGGCAAGGCCCAAAAAAATTTTGACGAGTTTCATACAATAGAAACTGTGGCCCATCAAGGTAGAAGAGGAGGCTCTAGATCTCCTCTGTTTGTGTTTGTCTGGGAGTCACTAATGAATGTCCCCCCCCCCCACTCTTCCCCCCTCTTATGATATTATCTAACAAGTTGCCCCCAGTACAGTTCCCACATATATATATATATATATACGGTATGCAGACAAAAAAAATTACCTGTAACATCTTTACAGCGAACCTGCATTTACTACTACTACCCCCCTTCTTAGTATCCCCCTGATATTAAAGATAGTATTCTCACTTGCCACTGCTATACCTTGATGCCCGGAACTTGCTACAGTGTTAACTCAAAATCAGCGGCACTTGTACACTTACACGGACTGATTCAATAAGCGGAGAATCAATTTAAGCAGTTTTGTTATCGAAATATCAATTAACAATTAATACATCAATGTGGATAGAGTCAACCCCTTTATAAGTTTGATAAATTTTTACGATCATAAAAGAAAGCTTTACTCCTCAGTAAGCAATTGGGACTCAGCATTATAGTGACCCTTAATGAGAATTAAAGCAGAGACGTCCGTGAAGGCGTATTTGTCCCTGTAGGTGCATGATGCCTCACTTGCTCAGCCACTGGTCAGGGAGGGACTGCTCAGTACCTCCCCTCAACCCCCAGGGTCGTGCTGAAAGTCTGTTCTTCTAGAGTACTAGAGTGTGATATTAACATTAATTTCTGGTTTTGGTTTTGTACCTCATCACTTATAATTCATAAATTCGCTTGTAAGAGTAGACTCGCTACTGTGATGGAGCTTAAATACTACTGCTCTAGAAATTATTCAAAATGGATTCTGACATGGCAGGAGGCCCAATAGCTCTGCAGTAGATGATGGTGAAGTTTGTTACTGACCAACAACAGAGAGATCTGACCCCTGTGTGTTGTCTGTCTGTCTGTCAGTGTCCACATTCCCGTTAGGCGCTCGTTCTTTCCCGCGAGACTCGCCTGCAAAACACTGAGTGGTTTTATCCGAGGGTGAGTAAGCGCTTGTGTCATCCCAGGATACATTATGAAGATGGCACCATTCAGTTTATGACCTAGAAGGCTGTGCTTTATTGTTATACCTATTTGTGCATATTTTTGCAGTAGTTTCATTTTGGAGAATTCACGAAGGTTGACGATAGTAACTGAAATTGAATGGTGCAGTACAAATTCTTCATATGTTTTACTACAGTGGCTGCCTCTCCTTCCCTGCTGATATCAGATCCCAGTTGTTCATTTGGTCAGATTATTGACTTAAGAAGTGTATGTTTGATTGTTGAATGGCTATTCTTATATTTGATCTCCCCACTCTTAGGTTTCTGCCTTCATGTAAACCATAGCTCGTGTAATGTCATTTTGTGTCCTAATACTCGTGCACTGATTGTACTTTGTACAGCAGAAGTGAATAATAATGCCTAAAACATCATACCCCGCAAACACTTAGCGCCACCCACCCTCTGATAAACAAAAAAAATTAAGCTTATGGTTTGCTGATTTGTAATCCTGATTATTGACCATGCAACAGTTAAAGTGATTGCTCTCATATGTTTATGAAAAAAATCTCACTACATATTGCAAACCTAAGCTTTGAATTTAAAGACAGCACATTTATACTGTACACAAATGGACTGAAATGTACTACCTTGAGACAATCTAACTGCTAATAAAGACCTAGGACACTTGACAGCACACAGGCTGTCATAATTCCTGTGTTGGTACAGCTAAAGTGAGTGCTAGAGTGGCTTGGTGTAGCAGGTTGCTGTTGCTGCTATTGCTGCTTGTAGTGCTACTGCTGCTCGTAACAAACTTCAGAACCCTTTCCGTTGCACTTGTTTGTGTTCTCTGACGACTTCCTGGGTCTCTGGTCTCCTGTGCATGACTTACTCAGTCACGAGCACCTTCTTCTAGTTGAGCCCTTATTTTCACACTTAAAAGTTCTTCTCAGGGAATATTTACTGCTATCTGCATAGCTTACTTCTAAGGGACCTCAGTGATGTAGCTGTCATGAGCAGCTCCTCTGTATCATGCTTCTTAGCAATGCTATTCTAAGGGAGGTAACAGCCAATGGCTTCTCATATGTTTGTGGCTCAGAAGGGGGTGAGTGACGGCCTGTGTGTCTGTGTCTGTGTGTGGTCTGTCATAACTCTGGTTGTCTTGTGACTACAGTGGTGTGGCTGCGGTACCACTCCTCCCTGGGGCCCCTCCCTCATGTGTGGTGGGGGCCCCGGTGGACAGCCTGTCCCATGGCCACCCCTCGGCAGCCACTAACTCTCGACCTGCAAAAGGTCATTTCAAGTCAGCGTCCATTTCTGCGGGCACGGGTGCTGGTCCAGGTCGAGTGGATCTCTCGCCCCTAGACCACCCCCTAGATCCTTTACGGTCAAGGTAGTATGTCTCTGTGTGGGCGCACACATCTTGTTGCTTTCTGCTTGCTCCCTCACCTTATCTCTTCTGCTCCTGCACACTTATTCTGTTGTCAGTGTATTTCCTTCTTGTGTGTTTGTGAACTGCATGACAGCTTGTATATAGCAGACTGCATAAGCAACACATTCATACACCAACACATACTTTGGTTGGTTCCCACCTACCAAGATACAGTACAGTATTGCTAAAGGGTGGTGTGACGAACCTAACACTTAATACGATTTGCATGACCTTAGTAGTTGTGTTGCCTCCAGACCCAGTGAGGACCACAAGAATGCTTAGGTAGTGTGCACCTTTACATCTATAGTTGTTACTAATATATTATAACTAATAATTATTTGAATGAGAATAATTTTGAAGCTTTACAATTTTTATAGAAACCTAACAAAGTGTGTGAAATAAATCACTTATTACAAGTTATACTAGTGTAGCTGATTTTTCTTGCTCTAGCCAGTGTTCAGACTTACATTAATTTTTTTTTTTTTTTTTTAATAACAAAAAGGTTTGAGCTTAAGCTGCTCAGCACTATTGGCTGTGCTTCTGCATGGCACCTCACTCAGAATGTTACCTTACTGCCTTCCAGCTCGTCGAACAAAACGCCTGTATCGCCTGTATCAACCAATCGCAATCCCTTCCCCCGAAACCACACCAGTCGATCAACGTTCCACAGCGGACAGAACCGGCGAAATAACAACACATATGGAGGAGTAGGTGCCCCACTCACCACGCAGGACACCAGTGCTCTTTCCTCCACCAGTAGGACCAGTTTCTTCTCTAAATTATCATCTAAATTTTCAAAACGGTAAGCTTAAGTAACCAAGATGATGTTTTCATTCCACCTGTGACTTTCATTGTTCATGTTTCTCTGGTGGTACACCAAGTTTAGCAAAGTAATTCAATAACTAACATTGTAATTTGTGTAAAACTTATCAGAGTTTTCAAATACAAGTACTTAGTGTTTTTTTTTTTTTTAGTATTTTAATTCTGTAAGAATATTTGGCCAAAAATTTGTCGTAGATAACTAAAGAAGCGTTTTAGATTGTAGTTGAACTGTTAATTTGACCATCTTATTGGATTGCTTCATATGCTCTAGAGGATGGCTGGAATAAACCAACTCACTGCATGCTGCAGACTGTTAGTGCTAAGATTTATGTATATACAGTACAGGGTAGTTGCAGCAGAACATATGCTTCTGTGCCTCGACCATAGTTGTATACAATCAGTGCAATATATTTACAGTACAGTATGTTTCTCAAAATTATTATTTCTTATTTATTTTTTTATTTATTTTTTTATATTTTTCATATTTATTCATTTATTTTATTTTATTTATTTATTTTTATTTGTTACATAATTTTTTAGTTTTCCCAGTTTTTCTAAGTAGCATGATTTTGACATCACATTTTCCCAATAATTGCAAGGTCAGTGTTTTCACTGTGTGGAAGTAGCTCTTACAGTCTCTTGCAAATAAGCAGTGTAATTATCATTATGCAGCTGGGGCCTCAGTCAGTAATGAAACCTTCACTTTTGGTTTTAGATTTTTATTTTTTGAAAGTAAGTTTTATTGTTATTTGTATTTTTATCTCTAGAGTGGTTGTGCATGTGTGTTTGATTTTTTGCTTTGTTTTAAATTTCAGCCCCCTGGAAACACCACCTAGGCAAGCCGCTAGGTACGTTGATTGTTGTGTAGCTCCACGGCTCCCGGTCACTTGGCCGACAGACGTATGGCCGACGGACATTTCACTGACAAACATTTGGCCGAACTGACATTTAGCCAAATGGCCGAATGGACAAATGGCTGAACCTAACCTAGCCTATGCAAATGTGCAAAAAAAAAAAAAATTCTATCATGCAAATGTATCACATTGCAATTATGGTATCTTTTTATTGTGTGTTTTATAAAGCAAATACATTGCAAAGAAGAAAGAGAAATAAAAAAAATTAAAAAGGCCGTATGTCCATTCGCCCAAATGTCCGTTCTGCTAATTGTCTGTTCGGTCTTTTGTCCATTTGGCCAAATGTCTGTCGGCTCAATGTCTGTTTGGTCAAATGTCCTTCGGTGAAAAGTCCGTCGGCCAAATGTCCTTTCGGCCATCTGTCCGGCCACGAGCTCCATTCTAACCCAGTATGTAACTCATGGTGTCTTAAGAAGTTCATTGTACTGCCAGTATTATGGATAGCTGGTGACCTTTTACCCCTGAACTATAACATAGCTTTTCGGCCACATACATAGGTTCCGTATGTTATTTTGGGATTAGAAAATCATCATGATATGGTTCTTTGAGGAAGCCTCGTTTCTGTAATAAGTCATGAGTTGCAGAAGTCAGAAATGTTCGTGCAATTTAGTCTTGTGAATTATTTTAATGTGAGTGCACTCAGTGGTAGGAAACTGTAATCTGTAAGAAATATTGGTAAACTTATACTGTTATTACTTTATGTATTTCCTGTTATACCTTGATTGCACCTTTGACCAGTTGATATTCCTACATATCCTCATTCTTACTTTAGTTGTCAGTAAGTCGTTCCACAAACTTGTACAGCATTAATTTCTTATCGGCTAACCCAAGCAAGCATGAAATTTGGCCATAAAGTCCTGATGCTGATGATGCTGTCATAATATACATTTCCATATCTTCATTTGAGTCTCTGTTGGTTGCCTTAATGTTATACAGGACCTTTGTTTTTTCTCTGTCTGTTATCCTTCAGAGTGGTAATAGCAGGATGGTATTAAGGTTTTCTCCCTCCATACCGATACACCATTTTTACTGCCCACTTGTTCCTCTCTCACCTTTTACTTTATTTTCTAACACTCTTTGTTTACTCCTCTCAATCATTCCACTTGACACTCTTTGCCTCATCCATTCTTTACTCCATTTTTCTTTTTCAGCTCTCTTGAATATCTCAAACAACTTCTTGTCTTGGTTTTTATTTCCCCTCACACCCCAGTACAGTAGTTTACAAAAAGATTCATATCCACTGTTCTGTATCCCTGTCTGTCAAAGTGTTAGTTATCCATGTTGTGCATCAGCATGTAAAAAGAAGCTGTTTCCGCTAATTCCCATCACCATTTTCTTAAACACACATCTGTACTCTTCACTGTTGCCATCTGTCAGAAGCTCGGAACTCTCTCTTTTGATTCCAACATTACCTTTTCCATTTGTTCTCCTTCCAGCCATATCTCAGTTTCTTCCTTGGACAGTATATCCCACTTTTTATGTGTACAAAACTGAGTAATATGTATAAAAACCAATGCCTTCTGCTGTAGGAGACTATAAAAAAAGAAAAAAGGCACTCATATATCCTAAATATTCCATAGAGGAGTTCAAAGAAATATGTTCAAGCTTCAGATATGACATGACAGTGAAGAATAGTGTGAAGGGAAAATGAGGGTTGGTGGGCAATGGTATTCTTACAGAGGAATATTTAGGTAAGAAGTGGGAATTGCAGCTAATTTGGGGGACAGTGAATTTTAGGGATATTAGAACTCATTTTCACCACTGGACACCTTTAATTTACAAATCACAACATTTACACTTCATGGGATCTACAGGAATGTGTGTGGATCTGAAGGTAACTTCTGTGCAGTGGCTAAATTTCTCATTTGTGTATATTTATCAGTTATGACCTTTTCTTCATATTTATTACCTTTTATTATGATGTAATTTGTCATTCTCCAGTACATTCATATATATGCAGCTTATCATCATTATTAATTGGCTGTAAAACAATGATTATGAATAGTGAACCAGTAAATTATATTTTATTTTATCACTGCAATACTGTAGCTTATGTAGATTTGCACTGTTTTATTTTTTCATATTCACACATTCCTTTCTGGGGGTTGAGGACCTTTTCAGAATGTTGCCAGTACCTCTCAGCCTTACATCAGTCATTGTGGGGGGAAGGCATGCTCTTTACTGAAAACATTTGGAATAGTTTTTACCATAATATACAATCTTAGAGTATGTGTATTCATAGTCCAGGACCCCGCTTATGCGCGTCTGAACCCCTGAACCGCCCTTACTCTTGTGTCTCACCCTTGCTTGAGCCAACCCACCCAGCATATCTCATTAGTTCAGTGTCTGTGTTCATTTAAGGAAAATAAAATCATACAATACTTTAATGTGGTTTAATAAGAAAATATAAAACAATAAAATAAGAAAAATGAAGAGCATGGGTGAGGTATGTGTGGGAAGTGAATGTTGTGCTGTTGTATGTTTATAATCGTCAGACTTTAGTACATTATGGTTGGCATATATATGTTTTAGGAAACCCAGAAGCACAATAATAACAACATTAAAAACTCTCTCCTTTTTCTCTCTCTCCTCCTGTCCAGCTCTTTGTTTATTTCTTACATAGTCTTGCCAAGGTAATACTCACTATTGTAATAAATTTACTATATTGTTCAAGGAAATAACAGTTACATCTTGTAGTTGTAGCCATTTGATAAGTGGCTGTGGCAAATGCTGAGGGGGATTTGTTTAAGGTAGTTCACTGAAATACCAAAGACTTCACTGCTCAACTGCGTAAAAGTTTCCATGTGATCACCCAACAATTTTCAAGTTGCAATTACTGTATCAGGAAGGGGGTAGGATTTTTATTTATCTATTTATTTTATTTATTTATTTTTTCATTTTATATAGAATGTACCTGAACTTTAAATTTATCTTCTGTTCACTGACTATTTATGCAGGTTTAATTGATGCTTATGAGAGACTTCTATATAATTCTGCTTACTACTACAGTTTTTAATTTGCCAGTTTTGCTAGACGTAAAGATCACTGTCACTTGTGTTGTCATTAAACAGACAGCTTCACATTGTGATATTTCTAGATCACCTCAATAAATTTTCCTGACACTTAACAACTTGGTTAGGCATTTCAAGGAGCATATGTTTACATTGGTACCTGTGCAAAATATTAAGGATCAAGCCAGACATGTAAAGCCTTAACGTTGAAGTATTGGTAAATTAGACGATGATGTCATTTTACATTGGACCAATTGGACCTAACCTAATCCAACCAGGTTGTTGTCATGAGAGTCTGGGTTACATGTTCAGAGCTTCTGTTTTCTGCATAACAAAAGGTGTTACAAAATTTTCATGGAAACCTTAAATTATTACATTGTATTCTATACAAAAAACTTTTACATTTACACACACAAATGATATTCAATCACATTTTCATAAGCCATGAGAAAAATGTATGTATAATAATCGTATTTTACATACCAGACTTGCCCAGTATGTGTCGCATCTGTTTCAAATGTACATCAGTTTTATTGTGTCCCCTGATTTATCTTATAATTAGCTACTAGACATTTACCCTCTCACCGGCCAATGACAGGTTGTGTAGCAAAGAGCCTGATAGTTCCCAGACTACCTCAGGTACAGCTATAAACCATTGTATCACTCAAAGCCAACAAATCTCCTTAAATTAGTAGTGTTTGTTGATTCTGCTGCTTTATTAAACTAAAAACTCCCAAACCAGTTTTGACCAGCAAGTGTGTGATATTTGGGAACTAGTGTCATTGGTCAGGGAGAGGATGAGATTTGTCCAATTGTCAATAATGCTAAAGGGATAAGTAGTATAAATTGGATATGATAATGCTAGATGTAGTGATATTGGTTAAAAAAAGGTTTCCTCATCTTTTTATCCATATTCATGGAGTGAAAAGGAGGAATTTAATGGTCCCACGCAGCATTTAAATGTCGCACGTCATGTAAACTAAATGTTTCTTGTTGGCTTTATATATACTGTTGCTCTTTGTTATACTGATTTTGGTATTTACATCCACAATAACACTACATTATATAGATACACTGTATTCATACATATGCAATATTATCACAGAAATGCTTATTTTATGAATAGCTGTGAAATCTTGAGATGACACTCATTTGGTGTGTTAGGGGAGGCTAGTGTCTTTGTTTATATTACCTATACATCACTATGTTGGACTGAGACTAAAGTCGAGAGTTAATTGATGAAAGGATGCATCCTCAGTTGTTAATGGATCCTCACAAAATTCTCATGCAGCAAATGAACACTCATAACCAAACAACAAAATTATCCATATATAGTCAAACAAAAGCCAGCACCAGATTAGACAATTGTACCTGCAGATTAATTTCGTTGTCCGGCAGTTCTTGTTGTTTGAACGTCTGAATTGTGGTTACTTGTCAAAAGTCACTTGTAGTGGTTTTCAAATCTCAACATTTAGGTGGACTATTGTTCTTTTTTATCTGCGTGACAAAGTATTACAGTGAAGTTACTCATGGCAGTTTGGATCTTTTAGAATTGAGTATGGAATTGGTTAGAAAGATCGAGAATGCGTAGATTTGTGTCGGTGTTTTATCTTGGGTCCTGGATAGCAGACTTATCTTCTTGGGTGTTGCCACTTAAGTCTTCTTGTTCGTTTGTTGAAGGTGATTTTGAGAAAGTTGATGCATATGATGGTGAAGCACAGAATTCTAATAAATTGGTGTAAAGTTGGAATATCTAGTATCAAAGCGAGGGAAGTACTGTACTCCATTGTCAGTGTGTGTTTTTATGTGTATACCAAAGAATGATGGAATGGTGTAATCCTCACATTTAAGATAATTGTATTATCATTCAGAAGTATTATGGATGCGGTATTCAGTAATTGAGATTTTGAAATGGATAAAAGGATTTTATTAAGTCGTTCCGTTAAGCAGGAATTTTCATACAAGTTATTCCCCAAAGACTAACATAAATGATCACTGCACAATCCCAAAGTACAATAGTTATTATTGCTGTTTTTGTACACATTAATAAGCTTATTTTGATATTACTATAATCGGTAAAGATTGCCAGATTATTATAGAGAAATAAAAAGGTGTGGGAGGAAAGCTGTAGTCAGACTAAAATAGAATTTAAGAACAAGCATCACACTAAACAGCAAACAGAAATGGGAGTTATTAGTGTCTGAGTTGTGACTACAGTACAGACGGGTAAAGGAAGGCCCGGGGGTAATTGAATTTAAATACATTCATCAAGCTTTAATTCTTTTTTAATTAAGAATCCTCACCTAAACTTTACTGTCCTCTGTGTGTGTGTGTGTGTCGTCCATCTAGACTCTTGGATCCTAGTGATAGTGAGAAAACAAAAGTACATATTCACTTTAGCCCACCAATTATTGCCATGAGTGTCAGGGTCCAGATTTTATGTTAGATTGAGAAAGGTAAAAAAAATGGCATTTTAGTTTGTTATTCAGTAAAGGCATTTTTATGTATAAAAGTGTGTACAAGAAGTGACATGTTTGTGAGATGTGTGAGAGTAAATATGTGTGGTGGTAGGGAGGGGGGGGGGTATGCCTGTTGACTATTAGCTTTTAGCATGAGGGTAATTTGCAGACCTTAATATCCAACTTTGTGAATTGTTTTTGTGGTGACCAACACAGACAAGTGACTCCATAGCTCACTGATAGTGTTTACCTCACAATTAAATGGTTAAAGGTTTGCTTCCTGACTGGAATGAAGGATTGAGTTCCTTTCCTGTGCACTAGGCATTGTGTACACTGCAATGAATTAGTACACTATTGGGTGTGCTTTCTGATGATGGAACAACTTCCAGTGGACTTGTATCCTATTAAGGGTAACCCACTAGCAGCTAAATGCTAAGAATCAGGGGTTCAGCACATGTTTGGCCAATCTGCATCATTGCAGGAAAATGTTTATATGTATGTGTAAAAACTCCGCATATTTATGTAAAAGTATTACTGTTATATCCATAATATGGAGATTTCTAGAGAATTAACTGTTCATTGCTAGGAACAGTTTACCACGTGGTCGTATTTTGTGTCCTTGTATGTTTTAATGATGTGTAACCTCTCGCTAATGTTTGCATAATGAACACTTCCATCCTAAATTAGGGACAAGTATTGTAAAGTTGCTTGTCTGTCACACAATGTATGTATATCAGTTCATGTGCTGTCCCCTATTTTGAAAGGCCATTTAAACAAAATTTGAATAGTACTTTAGGAAAAACTCTTGCTGTTGGATTGCCTCATCCTCTAATTTTGTGATGTAGGTTGTTTCAAGAAATTAGAATATTTTATAACTTTTGATTGTGACAGGCAGTGAAAAATGAAGGCTAATATAAAAAAATATTGCTTGTTTTGTAAGTGCATGTTGTGCACATATTTATTTAAACTAAATTTTTTAAACTTTCATAATTAGAATATTTAATTATTTGTTGGTGTGAGTATGGAAGTGATGAACATTTTTAAGTATTTGGGAAGTGTTTTCAGCAAGGATGGGAGAGTGGAAGCAGAGTTGGCTGAAAGGATGACAAAGTGCAGTATCACTGAGGAGCTCACAAAAAGGTAAGAAAGTGAGCATGCAAGTGTGGTGTGTTCTCTTTGACTGTGTAAGCTGTCCTTCTGTGTGCATCAGAATTAGAGGAGTTGGTAAAACATATATGGAAAGTATCTGTGTTGAAGTTTCTTGGTGTTGAACTAGGTCAGTAGTGTGAATGAGATGGTTATGTAAACTTCATTATTTAAAGAAATAGTTTGCCAAATGATATGGGATTTTCATACAAAGTTAATGTAGCATTGCAAACTTAAAACTTGTGATCTCCAAAAATAGAAGAATTTTAATTGGCACAGAAATATGTTAGGTTGTTAAGAATAGAGAATATGCAATGACACTTATCTACATGAGTCGTCCTTATGAATGATTAGATTCTGTAAAAAAGTAAAAATGTGAAGGATGTTGAGGTGCTTTTGCTGGTGCAGAATGTGTAGTGTTGTTTTCATGGAACTTCTTACTTTTTACTCTGCATATTTAGATCTCAGTGATGACTGGATTGTTGCTTTATGTCGATTTATTGCCATTTTATTATTTAATATTCACTATTTTAAATATCTGCATTATTCTCGAGCTACATATTGCTAAGGACTAGATGCACACACACACACGTACGTGCACTCGCCACTCACTCATTGCATAGGTGAATACTTGTACTTTTTCAATTTCCCTGCTTTGTACACGGGTTGTATCATATTTAAAGACAAAATGTGCATCAAATTTGTGGGAGCATTTTATTTATAGGAAGGCAAAAATATTCACCTACCTTGCTGTCACCAGTCTGATCTGCATGTGGATGTTCAGGGTGTATTCTTCCAAACCATACAACATAGACTTTATAAACACATTGAGGTGAAGGATAAAATATGCTTGGGTAAAAATCCTCCTCCTCTTTCTCGTTCTTAATCTTCAATGCGAGACCTTGATTTTTTACTGTCGTGGATATCATGTTAAAATAAAAGAAATGCTGTTTCTTCTGAATATTGTTGTATTTATATCATTGATTTCATATCCCAGAGCTAGTTAGTGTGTACACCATCTTTGGGGAGTCTCGCCTTATGCCCTCAAATGACCAAGATCCAACGGTTGTCAAGGATGTATCTGTATTACTCTTATATGTTGTGCTTGAAAATGATTGCTTTTCTCTTGGTATTTAAGAATAAAAACATTTATTACCAATTTATAGAAAGCTAAAGTTTAATTCTGTGCACACACACCTTAAGTAAAATATAAAGTTGACATTGTGTGTTATGATTCTGGATTGTACAGTACTACAACTTTCAACTCACTTTTAATTGGAATTATATCAGGAAATGTGTTTGAAGAGTTTTAGGTTCTTTTTATATACTGAATGTATGAATCACTATACAGGTACAGGTATTGTAACCATATTTATGAATGATTGATTACTCTTTTATTATTTTATAGTACAGTAATTAGGTTGTCAGCAAAGTGGGATGTATCTTAAGGTCGAGGAGTGGTGTGTGTGTGTGTCCACCCACACTGACCCTGGGGGCAGTACTTGAATTTTTGGTCCATGAATGAATTTTTTACGTTGAAAATTTTTTTGGCTGCTGAGAACATTTGCCTTCGTGTGGTCAGTATTGAATTCAAAGGATGTTTGTGTACTATTTGTGTGAAGTCTTCTGTATTTGATGGTATAGATAAGAATATTGTTAAATTTTTATTGTGTTACATACATCGTCATCATCATAATACATATTAGTGAACACAACAGACTTGATGGTACAAAAATATATTTACATTATACAAGTTTTGGTGTATTAAATATATGCTCTCCACTCTTTCATTTCTCACTTATTTTTTTATAATACTATAGCTGTATTTTACTAATTTCAGCTTTAGTGATTCCAAATTTTCTATTCCAACAGCCCATCCGTGAATAATGATGAGCAGGTCAAGCCTCGGTCTTTGCGCTTTACGTGGAGCATGAAAACGACATCTTCACGTGACCCCAATGACATCATGGCCGAGATTCGCAAGGTAGACCACCCCCAGCACCATGAATAGCGACGACAAGTAATCCACCCGCTGCATGTCCTGCTTAACACACTGTCTTCATGCTAGCAGCTATCTCCCTCGGTGCCCCCTCACTCCCTACTCCCCCAGTACCATGCTACTCCTGCAGTTGTAAACACTTCCCACATTTCCATCACTCCCCACAAATACCATTACTCTCAAAGACTTTCACTGTTTTTCTACCCACCTCCCTCTTTCAAACTCCCCCCTCCCATATATTCCCCCAAAAATACAAATGCCTTAAGTAACATAGGGAAAGTTAATTATAGCTCCCCAAAATACTTGGGCCTGTGTGTGTGTGTGTGCACATCCATGTCATTAAACTAGACACCACAGCAGAATATTGAAGCTGTGGATGCTTGTAGACCATTATAAATGTCATGCCAGATTTAAACCAGTGTTAGTTTGATTTCCCTCCCCCTCTTTAGTTTTTTACATTGAAGGACTACAGACCTATGTTGTGATGAAGCATATATTATGATTATTATTATTATGATTATTTTGATTTAGCTTGTTCCCCGGATGATATCAGCTTCTTACCCACTTAATCTTATGAATTGAGAGTTGTGACACCCATATCTTTTGAAGGTGACTTTTTCTTAATCTTATATATATTTCACTTCAGTCATGCTTGTCAATGAATAAATAAAAACAAAGCAGGTCATCAGATGGGTATTATACTGGTACCAGACTGGAATATTACAATGACGAAATTTTGAGCCTCGTCATAACATTTTTTATCATTATTACATTTGCATGGATTCTATATTTTCCTGTTGAGGTACTGTCATGAAATTCAATGACCTGATATTAGGTCTTGTTACTTTGCATGTAACTGTAGCAGAAAGTCCCAGTTACAGTATTTTGTTGTTTTTATTAGTCTGGAAGTAGAGAGATAGCTTCTGTATCAGGACAGTGTCTTGTATTTGTAATGTAAGTGTGAGTTCAGAATGTGCATTTTAGAGTGTTGCAAAGCTACTCCTTGCATCGAAAAGTGATTTGACTTGAATGATATTTTAATGTAGCATGGGAAAGTTAGAACTAGTTGAAACCATAAGTTTTTCTTCAGAACTAATCTCTCGTTCTGGTACTCTCTATTCTATTTCAGGTATTAGATGCAAACAACTGTGATTATGAGCAGCGAGAAAAGTTCTTGCTACTTTGTGTCCACGGGGACCCTAATACGGACTCCTTAGTACAATGGGAGATTGAGGTAGGTCACTGTGTAGACAAGAGTAGCCCTTCGTGATATATTTGATATCTATATAATAAGCTTTAGTGGGAGTCGAGACATGATAAGACTATACTCTAGAGCTGAATAGCAACGTACTTTTTTTTAAGCTTGAAAAAAAAAATATGATTGCAGTATTATTTGGAATTAGTTTTTATTTGTACACTCCACTTACCATTGGCTGTATAAATAACTAAATTTCATGTACAGTTAATGTGTTGCACTTTAGTCTAATAATTGTGATTTTAATTATCACCAATTAATGTATGAATTTAAAAGTGGTCAACATAAAGATTACAGTTTGTATCTTTCTTGCAGGTTTGTAAACTGCCTAGACTTAGCTTGAATGGTGTTCGGTTCAAGAGGATATCAGGAACTTCTATTGGATTTAAGAATATTGCCAGCAAGATTGCAAATGAATTAAAACTGTGACTACAAGGGGAATTTGAACTAGGAGATTCTCTTGTAGAAGTACCAGTAGGGCATAACACAGCTTGATGTTATAGCCCTTACTTCAGGTCAAAAAATTAGGGGTGCCTGACCAGTGATGTGTCTGGGTCACACGATTTTGTAAAAAGATTCAGGGAGTCAAAACATATTCCGAAACGTGCCTAACAGCCATCAAATTTGCATATGTGTAAAATGTTGTTATAGAAAGCTAATAAGTTTGGAAAAACTTTTCAAGAGAGATATGCTGGCACCAAACAAGTTTTCGGAGGTGTTTTTAACATGCATTTTCGTGTTCTGACCTGGACTTTAGTATCAGGCCCCCTTGCAGCTCACCTGAAACTTCTTAATTAACAAGCTCACTCCCGGAAGCACTCATTCTTGAGTTGCTCGGGCCTCTCCTGAAGCACCTTCGGCTTGTTGGCTTCCTATCCTCACTCTCCAAAGCATACCATGGACCCCTCTCGCTGCTCGAAATCCAGTTGCCTTTCAGGAATTAATGATGGCCACAGTACTATTGTTTATATTCATGGACAAAAGCTGTCTTAGACTCTCCTGACCAGTGAAAGACTTGGTATCAATGCATCTATTATTTCTCTAGCATCATCAAGAGTGGATTGTTGGTACCATTACATAGTGTGATATCTCAAAGAAAAGACTATGATTGTGGAAGATATGTGAATGAACTTGAACAAAGTGTCTTAGTACTTACCCCCTTCCACCAGCACTGGCCAGAGTAGTGCGGTTGTGTAGATGACGTGTGGTGGGAGTGTCAACAGAGCTTCACAAAAAAAAAAAAAACTCGCGTGAACTTTTAGAAGAGTGAGGCAAATCCCCACCATATCATATCTCCATATATGTGAGCCACACGTCATGTGTAACAGTATCATCCTTACGTGTTGCACTCACCAGCTAACCAGAAGAATTGTTCCAAAGGAACAATTAACCTTGTTTTCTTTTGTAAATATTTTGGCTATAGGAATGCAAAATTACAGTTGCCCAGTTTTGTTATGTATTACCTATAGGATGAATGAGGTGATTTGAATATTGATATGTACAGTATTGTAAAGATTTGGTCACATAGCTGACTGAGAACATAACCCCAATCCTGGTTAAAAAATAGTGTGCAACGTGTAGCATGAGCAGAGCTTGACTCCCAGTTGCCCCATGCCCTTGTGTAGAAACCAAAGACTGGGACTTCACTTCTGTTGTGCCTGGGTTATAAATATTGAGGAGTAGTGCGTTGCAGTCTGCAAGTGTGAGCCAACTGTCAAAGATGGTTTTTTCTGCCATATGCCCCACCTAGCCTTGTTGTATATTTACCTGCCCGTTGTACATGATGTAGTCTTCTGATTGGTAATCCGTCAGTACCACTATGATTCTTTTTTATTATTTTTATTTTCTATTTTATTATTATTATTATTATTATTATTATTATTTTCATCATGCCTAGCTACTATGACCTACCCACTCTCCCACACTGTTCGCCTCCCGTCCCTACCTGACCTCACATCACTATCCACCGAGGACCCATCCCTCCCCTATGTGTTCTACCACCTTTCTCTTGTATCTCCCCATAGTGCCCACCTGTTATGGGGCTGAGGCTTTTGCTTCATACCCACTTAATGCTTTTATTTTAATTCTCATCCATTGTGTAGATATATTCCCTTGCATTGTCATTGTCATTTTATTTTGAAATTATTGTAATCATTGTTCATCTTGGTTAGACATACTAGTGGTGGCAGTTAGGTAATTAATTTTTTATTTATGCATTTTTTATATAATTTTCTTTTATTACTTCCTGGGTATATAATCATGTAAATTTATAGTTGCTAATATTTAATAAAAATATGAAATGATAATGTATGGACCATATAGAGAGAGTCTTTCTATACACAACCTTGGGTTTTAACTATATTTCTCTAATTTTCATTGCGGAACTTGGGAAGTATTTTCCAGCCCCAACATTTTTATCACAGGTAATCATGATCATTAGAACCCTGTAGGGGTATTTGTATTGCACAGACCAAAATCAAATTAAAATGAGTTTTTGTAATTTAAACTCTGGGATTTTGTTGTTACACAACACTGATTTATTTTAAAAGGGTCCTAGTCCCACCATTGTAACTTGAGTGGCGAAAAGACAACCTTACCTTGTTTGATTAAAAGTTTTAACAAAGTTTATTTAATAATGCTGCTGCATATGTTCATTCCTGTAACTACCTGTGTACATACTCAACCAGTAGCCCTTGAAATACAGTGACAATTCACATTATTTGAGTTTGTTTACATTCCTTTATCAGTAGAAGGCTGCTGTGTATGAAAAATTACTATTTCAGTTGAACTATAGTAAGATTTTAGGGTTGTAATAAATTTGTATTGAAAATTAATAAATCTGTAATTCACTCATACATTAGAAATTAATAAGAATAAAATTTGATTCTTTTAATTGTTGTTAAAAGTTAAATCCAATATCATTAGTATGTGTCAGACATGGAAAGAATTAGGAATTGATTAGTATGTTCAGCGTGTTATGGAAACATCTATCACAGAATAACCCCTTGTCTTAGGGTAGGATTGTACGTGTATTTTACTTACAATGGGGTTTTTAAATGTTTCCTTTATAATAAAATTTGAAAAATAATAAAATATTTTATATGGTAACTTTTCTTCACTGACATCATATGCTAATAAGCAATGAAAATTAGACAGTGTAGTTTTATCATGACCAATGAGGTGGGCAGTTAATGTTATAATTATTGGTATGAATAAAAAAAAATTGAGAATATGAGAAGACTGGTTGAAATATGATGAGTAGGATAAAGTTGAAAAAAAAAATAGAAACTGATAATGTAAGTGAAATTGTTTATAAAAATGAATGTGTGGAGGGAAGTTTATCATGTGAAATACTGTATTGGTTTATATTGTCTGTGAAAAAGTATTACCTTAAATTTTGAAGTTTGCTTTGAATTCAGAAACATAATTCAGGGTTATGGTGATGAAAATAGTACTGTAAATGGCAGTACAGTGGAAGATGGAGAGAGATGGACCCTTTTAGAAATTAGTTTGTAATAGAAGTGTTAGGGGGTGTAGGTACAGTACGGTCGTCAAACTTACTACAGTGGCTGGTGCATCTTGTGAGATGTGGCAACTCTGGCCATTCTGGGAGTTTTTTAATATGATGTAAACAAACACAGATGTGCCAAATCTCCCAAAACGTGCCAGTCTCTGTACTGGGTATAAGTGCAGGCGACTGTACATTTCAGATATGTATGTGTATGGAGGGGGAAAACAAAATCATACTGTACTGATGAATCAACTTGGTGAAATTAGATCAGACATATCTCCCTGGCTGTGTTGGATCCATATTTCACTTCTGCCACTTCAGTTGACAAGTGCTAGATTGACTCGAGCTTGAATTTTTTGTGCATAAGGTAGGCCCCGATTTAAGAAGCATCGGTTTATAAAAGTTTGAAGTACGGAAAAAAATCCCATGCTCCGATTTATAGAAAAAGCCATTAAGAGATATAATTTTTCCCTAAGTAATAAATAAGCTATAATTATGCAGTTTTTACTACTAGTATGCTTGCTTATTTCACTAACTTATTTAATTATTCTCTTTAACACTAGCAATGTTATTAAGCCTAAAAATAAGCTTCTATGTGTCATCAATCTCCTGCAATCCCATATACAGTTACTTATTCCTCAAACTAACTGAAGACAAGTAGACTCATTTCCACCAGCACACAGTCACTCAGTCAGTTGCCTGATTGTACAATTTATCCTCATTTATGTAATATTGTATGTGGAAAATTAAAACAAAGAAAATTATTCTGTACAACAAATTCTATTCTTACACCTCTTTCTTACTATCCAAAAGTGATATTTGGTTATACGAAAAATGGTAAAGCCCTTACTCAATGCACCTCCCCTTATCCCATGGTGAGCCCTCACTGCCCTCATATAAAGTAATGTATCAACTATATTTTATTTAGTTTAACAATTTGTTAGGTACAGTACTGAACCACAATATAATACTGTATTGTGTTTTTGTTTTGCTTTTCATGAACACAATTAATTTTTAGGTATGTTTTTTTTTTTTTTTTGGTGTTTGTGAACCAATTTTTTTTTTATTTTTTAGGTACAGTATTGTACCTATAATACACTATTGGAATATTCTTGCCATTGGGGAACAAAACCCATTTTTTTTTCCATTTATTATGTTATCAGTTATCCGAATGGCTTTCAAGGAACCTAACCCATTAGGATAGTGAGGGATGCCAGTACAGTATCGGTAAGCATACAGTTGAAGCATCATTAGTGCGGTAGTGTTAACCCTCTTGCTGACAATCCATGGCTGGTGTCTGAGTGCTGAGGCTTGTAATTTCCCCACATACTCCCAATGTTGCCAAAGGGCGGAGTTCCCATTCCTACAAATGAATTAGTGTACAGTACTGTATATGATTACCATATTTCTAAATTTGTCTATGAATTATTGCTAGCATGGTTAATGATAATAGACAATTATTGAGCCATAAAATCCAAAGGATAAATAGTATACCTAAATATGAATGCAAAAATTAATAATTGTTAGTGACCATTTGGCAACAAGTGACGGACTAAAAATATCATCTTATGGGTGGAGAGAGTTGACACTGCACAGATGAGTCACTACCATACACTACAGTACATATTAGCCTGAGAGGTGAGCCACTGAATAAAAACTTGAGCTTAATTTTAAATCATTTTGCAATAAAAATTAATGGAAGCTTATTAAATTATTTAGTGATAAAAAGATAAGATATCCTTCATATTGAGATCAGATTTAATAAACTACACACAATTAGTTAGATTATAAAGGAATGATTTTAGATATTTTTATGCTTTGTTTGGTTAACCAAAGGAGGCAAGGAATAAATTACATTTGCTATATTTAATTTGATATGCTACAGTAATTATCTGCAACAAAGGTGTAGAATTTTAAGAGAAAAACATGGAATCTGCAAGTGAAGAAATATTTGGAGGTGTGGAGAATACCGGCAATGAACGAGGGACAAGAGTCAAACGCCTGACTGGTGGAGCCTGGCATTATTGCCATACAAACGTATTGTGTGTCTGTGTGCTGACAATTTTTTCTCCAATGGCTTTAAGGAACTGCTTTTTGATCATCTGAAGCCAGCCTGTGGAAATCAGTGCTGTGGAACTTTCATTTCCCAATGAACTATTCTTGGGTCTATCTTTTTTATACTAAGCACTTATACAGTATTTTCTTTTAGCACTGTTAGACCAAATTCTAACACCTGTGTTTGTTACAGGGAAATGTGAAAGTAAAATCAATATTTAATAAAGGGTATAGAGAAAACTCAGCCTGATGCTTGAACCAGTGTCATCATAGGTCAAGCATCTGTGACCACATCGTTTGCATCATGGAAGCAAAGCACCGGGAATTTAAGATGATGCAATGACTCAACGGGTTGGGTGTACAGTAATTTTTTTTTATAAAGATCAAATTTCCAATTATATAATGGGGGCCAATGTATTACAGTACTAGGGTACTACAATTAGTACAGTATTAAACAGTAGTTGTTGGCTCTGCATTCAATACTGTTCACTTTGTTTCCAATTTTGGCCAGTTTATTTTATGTGTAGGCATTAAATTATCAGGATATTACTGTTTTCTACTTATTATGTTTATTATTACCTTATACTGGTAATCATTATGTACAGTATACCAAAAAAATGCATTACTAATATGTTTTGTGGCATTCAAAAACTTTAGGTTTTTTTGTAGGAACGTAACACGGCTTTTATAATGCAGGTCTAGGGGAAAACTGTGCTTTGATTTACAAAAGGTTTTCAGGAACAGAAGCCTTTCATAAATCAGGGAACATCTTTAATAGTGTATGCACCAAGAGGAATGCGAATATGCAGAGAAGCTATGTGAGGTGATGGAGTTATGTAAAGGAGAGAAAACAATACAGTCACAGCATCTCATCTCCATATAGATCATTAGATGGATGTTTCACATCTAATGGGCCCTTGATATAAAGGACTTTGCTCTCCATGTAGTCCATTAAATCAAGTTTTCACTGAAAATCACAGTTTCCTCCTGTACAGTATTCTGTAATTTATAAATACAGGGGTACTGTACTTCCAGAGGAGTAAATTTTGAGGATGATTTTCTTAACCCTTAAACTGCAGGATAGATTTCCCTAAACCACCTCCATTTGTGCAAAAACTGGAACATAAGAAACATGAAACATCCATTGATATTGACTGCAATCTAAGGATTAATAGCTCATTATTGACTTATGGGGATGTGGTTACTTCCTCTATCCCTCTATGACTTAAGCGTTGATATTTGGTTGAATTTTCTTTCGTCGGATTATTGTTTATATTATAGGACGTTTTTCTAATTTCTGCTCAGCATAAATTTGGTTTACTTAGTACTGTACTGGAAGGAATTATGTTAAAGAGTTTCCCTGTTTTGTCATTTGACGACTATAACCGTCAAGCTACTTTTCATTACATCACAATTCTTCTGTAGATGTTGATTATGGTTTTGTGCTTCTTAATCTGAGTCTTGTTAATTTGACAGCTCTTTTCTTGCTTTCTGAGATTTTGAGTCTTACAGTATTATGTTAGCAAACTTATCAAGCAAAAAATGAGAAGAGACTGACAGAAATGTGTGCTAACAGAGGATTGATATAATAACAGGTTTAAAAAAAATGAAAATCCATAAGAACCATAAACCTGGAGGTGTGACAATGGAAAGATAAAGGGTATTAATAAGCTATGTGTTGGAGGATATAAGATTGAAATAGACTTACTTAATAGAAGGAGGATAATAAATAGAAGGTATACAAAATTAATTTAAAAAGCTTCCAAGTATGAAAATTGATCCTAGTGAAAAAAAGACAATTATTTTAATAAATGAATAATACTGTACATATATATACAGTAAACAACTGTGAGGTGAAGTGGGTTAATTTAAGTACTGTATGCAGTTAGAGGAAGTTCAATCGACGTGTGTGAATGAAAAACAAGAAAATGGAATGATGAGAGAAATGAGAATTGTGGGGATATTAAGGGTAAAATAAAAAATAATGGTAAAATAATGCAAAAGATGGATGGGTGAAGGTGAACCAGGTTGTAATAAGGTTATAAAAACAAGAAGAAGCAAATCTGGAGAAAACTTCAAAGGGCAAGAAAACCAGGAAAATGAAAGAATGCAAGTGGAAAAGAGAAAATAAAAGAGTTGGAGAGAATATTCTAACTTAAACACTATCCTGATTAAGATGTAAAGATATGGAAATTATAAAATGAAAACGATTTTTTTTACACAGACCGCATTATCGCAAAAAGGATTACAGAGCAGTTAATCTTAAAATCTACTTGTTAAAGTAAACCTTCTAATCAACTCTGAAAAGCAAACTGTTGAATATTTTCGTGAAATTCGTTAAATTTCCTGTTCATAATGAATTTACAGGTTGTTCATGTCAATATTTAGAAGTACACAGAATTAATTTGTTTATGATCTGAAAGCAACATTTAAAGTGTTACTGTATATCCCTTTAAGTCTAATTTCATATCAAAGCAACAAACTTTTAACTGCAAAATTAAAGAACATAAAATACAAAAATATCAAACACATATGATAAATGGTTACGTGGAGACGATTTTTTTTCTTTTACGGGGAATAGCCCACCCGGCAGTCATCGACCCACAACGGGGCCCAGGAAGCGAAAAATATATGAGTAAAAAGAAATTAAAAATAGAAAAGAAAAAGATTATTAATCTACACCACGAAGATGCCGGAAAACCAGTTTTTTGAAGTGAGACAAATTGTAAGAGTATGGAAACACAGAAGAAGGCAGAGCATTCCACAGTTTGGCTGTATGAAGAAATAAGGATGTATTATAAGGGGTTATTTTAGTGTGACTGACATCCACACAGAAATGGTGGGCATCGCGGGCAAGACGAGTATTAGAGCCCTCGGCCTTCCCGGCGGTTCACGGGTTACCAAATCCACCGAACATTACCAGTTAAAGTTCCTGTAAAAGCGAGACAGTGAAGCAACATTGCGGCGAAGTTACCTTCTTATGTACTAGTTGTGTTCACCAATCAATATTAAGTCACACCAATCATACCTGCCAACTAGTGTTCCTCAAGCTCTCAAATAACACTTGTGGAAGTCAGTCAATCGGGAGGCGGGATTTCTAATTCATTTGAGATATTATAATATCCAATGTTGAATTTCAACGGTAAAATTACAAAAATCTACCAAAATATTTTATATAAATAGTATTCGAAATAATTATTAGTACCATAAAAGCGCTCACCCTTATAATATATTTTTAACGTTTAAATAGTCATTTGACATTTGTTTACATCAAGCAACACACAAGTGCCCAAGGGGCCACGGTTAGCACTGACTCAGATTCAGAATTTTATAGACAAGAGATGCTGAAGCCACACCCGTTTTCTCGCTCCTCATTCTTCTTCTTCATCTACAGGTATTGCAATTAAAGTTTGAATTATCATTTTCCGTGAAAAAACGGCTGACACCAACATGGCGTGCGGTCACCTTTATTGTTTTAATTTGAGCGTCAGAGGAATGAGAACCGGGCGGTAAATTACAGTACATGTGCTGTCTAATTACTTATGTAATTATGCTAAATGCAGTTATTTGATGTTAATTGGCGACTGAAACCTGTTAAAGCACCATAAATTCACTTCAATTTCTTCTATCGGGTTTCCTCGCTTCTACTCCCAGCTGTTAGTTGACCAGTTACCCCCACATGTTTTTGCCGAGAGAGGTGGGGTGGAGGGGAAGCTTCTGGGATGTCGTGGCACTGTTATCCCTTGAGGAAACCTCGTTGGGTGGCAGTTTTTTTTTACGGGGATTAGCCCACCCGGGCACAGGTCACTGACCCACATCGGGGCCTGGGGGGCGAAAATGTAATACTTCTGCGCTTCACCTTACACAAGGATGTAGGGGGGTGCCCAATAAATAATTAAAAAAATAAATAAAATAATAATAATAATAATTAATAGTAAATCAAATTTATACGGTAATAAAAATACAAAATTAAAAATAAAATAAAGATAACAATAATAACAACACTGTAATAATAATAATAAAGAACCATAAAGAAATACAAAAATGAAAATAAAAATCAAGAGTGAAAAACGATATATGTATGTTGTGTTGTCAAAGTAAGAGAAACAACTGAGACCTTGCAATTGTGTGTAAATGAGGCAGAAAGTCATCAGCAACCTTGGACCTGGTCACAATTTTCGTGATGCCATATGGCAGCAGGGTCTACCATTCGACAACACATTATGCTTCCAATATCTTCCCAGGCGGTAGTACCTCCCTGTTTGATAGCTGCCTACTATCTACTACCTGGCGTTTTTGTCCGTAGGCCATGGCTAGTCAGAACCACTCAATGCATGACGCAAGAACAGCCTTTTGGCTCGGTCAGGGGTTGCATGTTACGACCCTCACCTTGACAGGAGTTCAGTCGACGCGATGATCGTGACGTCATCTGCAGGCATATAATTTTTTGTGGAATAATCAATGGCTGCTTTTGAAACACATTTCACACAATATAGTGTCGAACGGAAAATAAATTGTTAGTAATAGTTTCTGTGGCAATCGTTGAAGTCACTTTCTCCTATTACTGAGATTTATCTATCATACTGATGTTAGGTTGAATTTAAATAAGTATGACATTTTATATAGAGTAGGAATGAAGTACAGTGATACAAAATACCATCAGCATCTATGGTTACCTCGTGTCGATCTCCGTTAGTAGTGTACATTAAACATCTTAGTCTAGCAGAGCAATTAATTTTAGATAAGTACTGTATACCTATTGCAAGAGGTGCAGTGGCCAAGTGGATACAGCACTGGCCGCGGCTAGTCGTAGACTCGAGATCCGTCCGTATACACACAACCAACTCTCGTGAAGTTTCTTTCGATGGCCGAGAATTGAATGTACATTAAATATTTTGTATTAGTACGTCATACTAACTTGCTAATAAAATGAACCTCTTTCTGATGTACCCACTGCTAAATAATTATAATTAGTCTTATTTTAAATGCGGGTGTGTTAGTGTATATAAATTGTGATGAGGTTCTCTAGAAATAATTACGTATATGAAATCGGTCATTATTGCAATGGAAGTAAACATATTTTTGTCTGAAGTTAAAAAAAAAAAATATATATATATATATATACTGTATATATATATATATATATATATATATATATATATATATATATATATATATATATATATATATATATATATATATATATATATATATATATATATATATATACATATATATATATATATATATATCGTAAAGTTGAGTGTCAGTAATCACCCTTTAAACATAAAAAATATAGCATCATATGAATATTAGCCACCTCGGGTTGTCGAATCTTCAGTAGGGAACTTTGGGGTGTTTAATATTCATGATATATTATGTAATGCACATCATATGTAACTATATGAAAGTAAAAGAGGGTCCCAAAGGCATGACTGCCCGTTGATATAATATATTACATCCGCATATTACCCATAGATTGTTGACCGGACACAGGTATTTTGTCATCAGTAACGTCTTTGCCTTTCCCTACACTTAATGGTGGTCATTATATTGTCAAAACACAGCTACACATTGCGTGTGCCTGTAACATATTTAGCCCTATTACTGAAATCGTTGAACAAGGAATCAATAAAGGTCCTCAACTTTGCTTGTTGTGAGCAGCATTCGCTAGCGACCCCTGGCAGCCCGCTACACCAGGTCTGGTGGTCATGGATACCAGACATACTTAGCCCAACACCTAGCACTGCCTGCACTCTGGACGTTCACCTTCTACACCAGTGTTATACCGCAAGTGCCATGTGTAAGATATCATTTGAAAATTAAATAAAAGGTGTTAAGAAAAAAAAATGGGACTGTGTACTGGGGCTTAAGTGATGGTATGATTATAACCAACAGATAACATCAACAATCCCAGCTAATTATCCCGAGTTTGGGGTTATTATATCACCTCATGCGATGTCTTGTTTTATAAATACCAACTTCATGAAGTAACCGGATAATTACAAACCAAGTGTAAACAGAACCAAGAGGATGATTTTTCGTTGTGGATCACAAATATCGCCCGACACTCCCTAAACGCCCTTCTTGTCTCGACAAGAAACAAATTTATTGACCATGGAAGGTCTTCATATATAAGGCAAATTAAGTTTTATCTTTTTATCATGTACTGTACCATTACTCTTAGATTCATGTAGGTCAAGGCCATTGTACTTATTACGTCACGCCGTCGTCATATAAGACTTGGTAAAGCCATCTGTGTTTTGAGTAAACATAAGTGTGAGATGTTTTTTCTTTAAGATTACACGACCTCCTTCACCCTGTCTCTGTTTTACACTTTAAAACAATAAATAATTAAATGAAGTTATTATTGTGATATGATTTTAAACCATTCAGGTGGAGTTTCAATGACTGCGATAATAATTAAGCAGTAAAACAATCGCTTAGTCTGCCTTGCCTTTGTTCCCGGTTCAGTACTTAACTCCCAGTCTCCCTCCACTCCGCCCCCACACTCCCTCTGTTATACTTTCTCACGCACTAAACTATGTGATTTAGAATTTACATATTTACTTACATAATTGCATACGCCTGCCAGTAGTAGCCCACTGGCAGTAATCACTAAGCGGTGTAATATCCTGTAATTTAGCACTCAGACCTGGCACACAGCGGTAGTTTTACTTCTTTCGGTTAATTTAATAGAGTCCGAAAGGCAAATTGATACTTCATACGCGCCCACTTGTTAATGTATATACAGTACAATTTGAGATTCTCAGGATCTGTTAATTTATAGATTTGTTTAATGTTATGGCTCTTATTGTTCTATTATTACATTAAAGGTGTGTCGTACTTTTTTCAGTGTTGAGTATTAATGTGAAATATATGAAACTGTGTGAAATAATGATAAGGAAAAGAGGAGCAATGGTTTCTGTTGTTTTAAAGTCAGTGTATTATATGTTCCAGCTTTATAAACTATTAACAGTAATATAAGCTTGGGTGTACGTCGTGTGTGTCGTGAACTGAATTAATAATGTGATAAAGTTTAGTTTTAAGAACACGTCCTCCGAGGGCTGCCGAGTTAACCCGAGATTTATTAAACTTTATTTAGCAGGAAAACATGCCCACGTAACTAAAGTGTTTAGCGGCGAGTTTCATAACGAATGATGAAGTGAGTGATAGTACAGGATGTGGCGGCTTTGTCTACCTCCTCCCTTAACATCTGTGACACACCCGCTGTTCCTTCATCGACACAAGGTAAGTCACGTCACTCCCTATTGTCACTTATGAATGGTAAGAAAAGCTATGTTCTGGCTCATGTTTAATGTTGACTTGAGTGGCTAATTTTGCGACCACCATATTTCACGAGAAACAGTTGATTTTAGCCTTTTATATTAGTTATTATTATATACTGTACATTTATTAATAGATTTGCTTGATCGTCCATTACCATCAGCCTACACGGCGAGACAGGAGTTACCACTAAGCTACGGAGTAATCGATATCGACACCAATTTCCAATGGTCAATCTTGGCACACAAACTCAGTGCAACTTTTTACGTATACCTATGGATATACGTGTGTTATTGTACCAATTACTTGATTGTATTTCCTCTGTGCAAAGGTTCTTGGTAAAACGTTATTCAGAGCTTCTGGGTGCTAGTTTTATGGTGTTATGGGCGTAAGAATTTTGGTGCTATCTCCCAGGAAAGACCTATTCACATATAATCACTGTTTGTCGCTTCTATATCCGATCATCTATTCCTGAAATCACCTCCAGATTACAGCTTAGTCCTTACCAGATAGTTTAGGCCAGCCGATGTTTAGAATGATAAAGCATTTGTGAAATAACCGGCGAGTAACTGGAAGCTTGTGACGGATACCAAAAATGAAAATACTACCGGACAGCAGATAGCGTGGGAAGCGGTTAGTATGGAAAGCGGATAAAGCGAGAACCTATAATTTATATATTACGCTTTGTAATGGTAAATCGCCCCATTAAGCCTATAAATAATGGAAGTTAGTTCGTATAGAGTAAAATTTGCTTAATTTTTAAGTCGTCGTTTACCAACATAACTTTATATAAGAAAAGTATACATAGATTATCGTCTTATAGTATATTAATGGTAGATTAGTTAGAAGAATAGTTATGAAATAGGTCAAGCTTCATCTCTCCAAATCTTGATACAGGGAACGTTTGACCTCAGCTGTCGCGTGTTAAGCTGTTTTATGCTTTTTTAGATGGCAAAACTCGTGGTTTCTTCCTCGGTGATATATTACAAGACAGAATAACATTAGTATGATTACCTCCCGAAAGTTTTGACCAAGAATACTTTTGGGGCATGGCATAATGACTATGGTCAACTGGCGGTCGGTATAAAGTTCTGACTCGCTAATAAGATAATGCCTTGCCTTGACTGTTTTCCATAATCATCATTCAATATTATCTTCCTGTTGTAAATCTGTTAAGTTTTTGATTCGAGAAATGGTAATTTGTCTTCGTAAATGTGATTGTTGGGATTCGTCTGTTCAGCTCTACGGACGAACTGAGATGGTCAGGTGAATGCGCGGATTTCCGAGATTGTCACATACTGAACTAAATAAAAGAGATTAGATTTATATGAGAGGGAAGAGGGCTTAATAGTAGTCGTAGTAGTAGTAGAAGAAGGAGGAGGAACCCCAGCCTGTTGTTCGTGTGTCTGAGTGTGTGGCGTCTCTTCCTTCTCCCGGGGCTGTGATGTCGACAAGAATAATCGACGTTCGGTAAATATTCATCAGTGCTTCTTACACAACTCTCACGGATTATTTCTCATTTTACTCCCCTATTCTTTTCTTTCCTTTCCTCCTCCTCCCTCTTTCTTTTCTCCCTCTCATGCGGTAGTGGGTTGGGCCCTGATAACAGAATACTGATGGTTATCTCGTGATAGGTATACAGTAGTGTCGCCTTAAAGCTCCCTTCTGTACCAGTTTCCAGGTCACGTCATCTGCCACTCACGCGTCGTCCCTGCTTCTCTCACGCCCTCTCCAGGATTCTTTAATATTCCTACATTTAATTCCCTCTCGAAGTTGATATTGTGAGAACGTATACCTTACTATCTCAGTTCTTGATTCATCTTAAGGTTTTCACTTACCGAAAATAAAAAGAAATATTTATCCAACTCATTTTCCTGGCTACTGTCTTCACCGAGTTGTATACAAAATTGACGGGTTGATTTTTATACAGTAAAATCTGCATGCAAGTTCATACTGATTTAGCGTGTATGTAGGCAGTGCATATAGTGTGTACCAATATTAACTCGATTTGACCAAGGATAGCCTAACTAAGCCACCATACGTTTATTTCCATCGCACTGAAAATTAATTATCAATGTTCACAGTACGAAGCGAACTCTTATTATACTATATAATTATTGTATTGCCGTGTGTAACATCTTCTCTGTAGTTTAACGTCATGGATGAATTAGTTTTAATTTAGTTTGGTAAAGAGGTTAGGTTAGGTGAGATGTAGGTTAAGTTAGGTAAGGTTTGATTAGGTCAAGTAAGATGCGGGTTAGGTTAAGAGGTGTGGTGGAGGGTGCGAAGTGGAGGGTGCGTAGTGGAGGGTGCGTAGTGGAGGGTGCGTGGTGTGTGGTGGAGGTGCGTGGTGTGTGGTGGAGGCTCGTGCTCACAAGCTACCGTTTAGGGTCAGGTTTATGAGTCATGGTGCGGGATACCTTTAGTGTATCTGATCCTGCTGCCCCACCGACTCACCTCCCTGCAACTGCTCCCTGCAAGTCTGCTTTCTCGTCCTGCTAACCTGCTCCACATCTTAGTTCTCTTGTCTTATTAAACCTTATCGGGGTTAAAGTTGGTTTAGGTTAGGTCAGCATTAAGGTGGTTATTCTTCAGGTGGAATAAACTAGGGTGCCTAATCCACAGGCGATCCTTTACTACGTACCGTATATTTAGGGCTCTGGATATTTATTCTTGCCTATGTAATTATTTTAAGCCGGATAACACCACGACTGTTACCCATCGCCCTACCAAACTATGATTTCGTAAACGGATGAAAGGCTTCCCATAAAAAGTTAATGGCAAGGACTTCGAGGCTCAGTGACAGTAATAACGTTCCTATTATTTCTACCAAGAATTATATTGTCTTTTGGTGATATATCGCATGATAGAGACTTAGAGTAAATGTGGAGTCTTAATTTTTTTTCATCTGTCAGTTACCTCGATGTGTGTGTGTGTGTGTGTGTGTGTACACAAACGTGAATTTATTTTCTTCCCTGCGGTAATATGTGTGTATGTGCACTACTGTATATGAATGGATTGTGTGTCCAAGTATGTAATGTGTGTATACCGAATACATATAGTGATCTATGTGTTCGTGTTCAGTGTGTGTGTGGGTTTTTGTATGTGTTCAGGCTTATCATTATAGACAGACGTTCACGGGACTAAACTTTGAGCTTGTCTTTAGTAAATTTTCATGTATTCTGTATTTAATATTGTGTTGACTGACATGTCTTCCATGAACTCTCATCATTCTCGTCATCTACCTCCTTACCTACTTCCCTTCTCATCCTCCTCCGTTTCTTCTGTTTCCCTCTTTCTTCCATCTCCTTCCTCCCTTCTCCTCACCCTCCTTCCCTCCTCCTCTTCCTTTCACTGAACGGAAGCTTTTACCTGTGGCACTGATGCTTGTGTATTTTTCATTTATATGCATTAAAGTTTTTGATGTGTACGTGTTTATATATGTGGGCGTGTTTGCGTGAGTACATGTGCACGCGTGTCTTTGGGCTTGAGGGATTATTTACGAATGTGTGTGTGTGTGTGTGTGTGTATTGTGAATTTGTGATGTGTTCTTACTTAGTTCAATTAGCATAAATATTAAGTTAAGGTTATTGTTATGTTGTGTTTAAGGCTAGGATGGTTACTGGGGAGAATATTTAAATGTCGCTCAGTCAGGATTAGCGTTCATATAGCTGCTGACGGTAGGACACACACACAGGCCCACTAAAGCGACCTCCTTACAACCACCGTATAAAATTAATGACGTCTTATTTATAACGCTCTACACGACCCTTCAGTATTAACTTACCTGTGTTACCCCAGACCTGTAATTAAGTTACCTGAGCCGGTGGATCAGGTCACATCAGGAGGTTGTACAGTCAGGTGAAATGGAACTGACTGCCATGGGTCGAATTATCTTGTTGTTTACCATTGTTTGTTTATTTGTGGTGTCTATGTGTCTTGTTTACCTGTACTGTTGTTTTTGTTGCTGTTCTTGTTGTTATTGTTTTTATTGTTACTGTTGTTGGACAAGTAGAGGTCACCAAGGCTTTCACCAGCTGTTGTCAACCTTGCTGCCTTTAACAGTAGTAACCCAGTATTAGCGAGATGGTGGGGTGACAGAGCTGACTCATGACTTGTACTTGCCACCCAACCACCACCACCACCACAGTTGTCACCTACCTCCACAGCTGTCAACCTTACCATCACACCTGCCCCGCCACCACCACCACAGTTGTCACCCCCCACCACCACCACAGTTGTCACCTACTACCAAAACCACCACCACATGCCACCATCACCACAGTTGTCACCCACCTCCACAGCTGTCAACCACCATCACACCTGCCCCGCCACCACAGCTGTCACCCACCACCACATGCCACCACCACTACCACCACCCTAGAAGCGAAGTATCGATCCAGTGGTGGGTAGGAATGATGCAGATATATATTTAATATTATTTTAAGGACAAATGAGTGAGGACTGTGGCGCAGGTGGCGTGGGAGATCCCGTTTAGGAGGCAGGGGTGACCTTCTCACCTCTTAGCCAATGGGAGACTCTGTTTACATCAGTAGAGCATTTTGATTCGCTGATTATATAGCCCGAAAGCATCACTTGACACGACGTATGCACAACCCTCCCACAATTAAAAAATAAAACACTCCATTATTGTCTAAAAACACAAAATATATTAAAATAAAGATAAAAAAAAACACATGAAAGTGAATTGTTTTTTGTTTTGTATTGTTTTGAATCGCGAGTATTGTAGAGGGCAAAGTAAGTGATAAAACAAGGTCTCTCTATTGTTTATGTCGTGTTGAAGACGGGGGTGTCCTCTGTTCCCCATGGTGTAGTGGTGGTTATTACACACACACACACGTAAATGTATAATATAAGAAACCCGCACACAGATACACATAAGAACATAAGAAAACAAGGAGTCTGCAATAGGCCGGTTGGCCTGTGCATGGCACAAACACGCA